AAATATATAATTTGTTTTGAAATCAGATTCCACATTTTGCAGATTTTCGGTACCCTCATTTTCCCTATTTACCTAGTGTGTAGACAATGGGCAAAGAAAGATAACTCTGACTTGTAAGTGAGAATAGAACTTTCGAGATAAAGGCGGAAATAGTATCGATGACGTAAGAGACATATACACTCTCCATATCAAAATATTTAGACGTTTTATATTCACTCTTCAAAATTTAAGAGGACGTTGGTTACCGCTTCCAGTGCATGTAAAGTTTGAAGTTTCCAGTGTAGTGTAAGTCTGTATTGACAGTTAGTTAATTTACACATGAATATATCTAAAAAAAAATTAATATATATATGCTAGGTAGCTAATTCAAGTAAATATATTATAAGCACTGAATATACATTTATAGTGATGGACAGGCATGCAGTTTTATCTATTTCGTATATTAAGTTCAGAATACGATAGTTATAAGCCTTCTATAATGCAGACGATTTATTATTCTCTATGATTTGAATGCGAAATTATCCCGATTTCCGAGTTTTACTTTCGATATTAAAAAATATTACATACACTCAAAAAAGGAATTAAGCGATAGAAAATTGTAATACAGTACTGTTTTAAAGCCTTTATAAATAAATTGATATCTGTCACTGAAAAGAAAGAAAATCAATCTATAGATTAGATTTGGTTATTACATATATATTTGATAAAAGGTTAAATTATTTATGACACATGATCTATACTCTATATACCCAAGGAATTATAAAAGATGTGAAAAGGCGACTCTTGGATTCTTGTGAAATACTCAAAGAGTTAAAGAGTGTGTGAAATAATGGTACGCTATATGTTTCTTTTGAAAAAAAAAAACATGATAAAAAAATTGTACAAGTCTGTTGATATGTGGGATAAGTATATCTGAATGAACACAATTTTATGCAATGATATATAATCATGTACATGCAACTGACGTCCGTACTTTTCCTTGTAATTCATAAAATTATCTAATTCCTTTGAAGCCCCCCCCCCCCGTCTTGAATTTGAATTATATATTCGTTTTAGATTTAAATCTGGAACATGTGAATAACATTACCATTTACATGTATACAGAATTTCATATTTTATAATTATGAAATGTTCAATTTACATGTCTGAGAGAGAGAGAGAGGAGAGAGATTCCCTCTTAATCCCGATCCAGACCAAAAATTAGTTCTTTATCGGTCACACCCATTCTTTATTAGATGTTTTCTGATTTCATAGTCAGTCATGGTCACATCCTGTATATTTTTCAGCTTAAAAACTATCACACGAAGTGCACGTGTGTTGACCTGTCAATCAAAATCACTTGACGCTGTATGCACTGCAATTAAGTAGCCTGAGTTCGAAATGATCTTGAAGTATGATCTTTAAGTAAATCTGCTGCAACAAACTTGTGAAAAAAATAGAATAAAATAAAAAATAAAATATCTCGGTATTATGAACTTCGACTTTGGGACGTGGAGACAGGTCCTTTGGATGAGATCGTATAAATCGAGGTCCCTTGTCGCAGAAGATGCTGGCATAAAAAAGATTCCCCACTGCTCAATTGCGATAAATGCCAAAGTATAGGACAAAAATTTACAGTCTCCACCGGCGAGTGGTGGCGTCTTCATGTGAGTGAAAAATTCTGGAGAGGGACGTTAAACAACATACGTATAATCAATCGATTGCTGAAGAATTACTGTAATTGAATAATTTGTCTTATAGGTATGTTGTCAAATCTTGATATGATAACTTTACAAAACTCAGTGACTTTACGTTTAATGTGATACTAAATTAATTCATTATATTTTTTTATAACACCATCACAATTATGCCAAAACATACACACAGTGAAGTTTATGATAGTACGGTGTTCGTTCGTCTGTTTGTTTGTCTTAGAAATGATTGCAAACATTTTTTTTTAAATTGCTAATGATATACGTATATCTCTTATAGGTGCCAAATGTATTATACAAGATTGATAATGAAAATCAAAGTACCTTAAGTACTGAAAGGACTTTTTTCCAGTTATTTTTTTCTTTCACAGTAAATTTGATATGTATGTTTTTTACACAGAAAAAAGCAAATTCTCACAGATTTAGAAGAACGGAAGACTTTTTTGTTGCCATGGCAACAAGAGTCTAGTTATTATTATTATTATTCTTTTTTCTTCTTATTTCTTCTCCGGTACTTTTTTGTCCGCGAGTGTTCTCGGAAACTGCTCATCCAATTGAGTTAAAACCTTTTTAGGGTTAATAGGCATGTTATGTAGATTTGCGGAACAAAGGTCATTTTGCGCGCACGTGCATGCACGTGCGTGCGCGTGCAATGAGTAAAATTACCAATATACTTGATATAGCTGTAATTTTTATATTTTTTGGTGAGATGCTTTGGTACTCAGAATATAAGGATATATTAAAAGTGTGAACAAGATGACATGGTCAACATGCACATGCATGCACGTGCGCGCACGCGCAAAGCGTAAAATGACCAATTTACTTGATAATATCGTAACTTTTATACTTTTTGATGAAATGCTTTGATACTCAAAATATTTATATATATAGAAAGAGTAGACAAGATGACATGGTCATCATGCACATGCATGCACGTGCGTGCGCGTGCAATGTGTTAAATGACCAATATAATTAATATAGCCGTAATTTTTATATTTTTTGATGAAAAGCTTTGATATTAAGAATATATATATATATTAAAAGTGTAGACAAGATGATTTTGCCATGATGCACATGTATGCACATGCGCGCGCGTGCAATGTGTTAAATGACCAATATACTTAATATAGCCGTAACTTTTATATTTTTTGATGAAAAGCTTTGATACTATGAATTAACAGACGTATTATAAGTGTACACAAAATGGCATGGTCATTATGAACATGCATGCATGTGCGCGTGCGCGCAATGCTAAGATGACCAATATGCTTGATTTAGCCGGAACTTATATATTTTTTGATGAAATGTTTTGATACTGAGAATATAAAGATGCATATATAGTATAGACGGGATGACTTGGTCATCCTGCACATGCATGCACGTGCGCGCGCGTGAAATGCAAAAAATGACCAATATACTTCATTGCCTTATTTAATGAAGCTTACAGGAAAAAAGTCACCAAAAGGGAGTTGGGGAGCGTTTGGGGAACATCTGTAACCGTCCCCGTTACAATTATAACTAGTTAACCTTTGAGGAACATTGTGTCATTGAAAGTAATTAGATAGGAGTACGAAACCATCTTCACAATGTCAAAGGTTTGTGATATCTTTTCTCTGTGAAGAGGAACGATATCATAAAACCTTGACATGGTAAGATAGAAAGAAATTGACTTTCAGTTTAGTGTGTAGAGTCGCGGAGTAAGGAGTTGATCCTTACGTTGCGGGTTCAAATCCCACTGTGGGACGTGGAGACCGGTCCTTCGGATGAGACCGTATAAACTGAGGTCCTGTGTCGCAGTAGGTGCTGGCACGAAAAAGATCCCTCTCTGCTCAATGGCCGTAAGTGCCGAGTATAGGTCAGAATTTGTAGCCCTCCACCGGCAAGTGGTGGCGTCTCCATATGAGTGAAAAATTCTCGAGAGGGACGTTAAACAACAAACAATCAATCGATCAGTTTAGCGTGAGTGGGGATTCAGATCACAAAGAGGGTGTTGCAGTTCTTTTGTTATTTTCCCTAAAGTTGTAGCAGTTTAAAAGAAAAATTTAAAGTATCAGAAAACGGTCTTAATTTTTTTTTTTTAGATACAACGGTATATACAGCACAATGTAGTTCAATATTTAGAAACTGCATATCGACTTCCAATTTGCCATTAAATGAAGTGTAAATTAGTCACATAGCAAACTAAGTTTCGTTTTCTGTTTTTCACATAGGGAATCCCCATTGTTCTGAAAAACTGCCTCCTTGAAACAGAATGAATTTGATATACGCATAAAGAGACAGAATTTTTCTTCAAAACTGCCATTTCTGATTTTTGTTTCAGAGAGGCATATTTTTGAAAATCACAAAAATCGAATAAAATTATTATCCATCCGAAATGCAAAATGTGCACATAAAATAGCACATAATACCTCAGTGTCGGAGCTGGTCTAGTGGTAAAGCGTGGGGACTTTATGCAAAGATTCTTTTGCTTGAGAATGGGTTCGAATCCTGGAATGGCTGATATATACATTTTTTCCTTATAAAATGGAAATACAATGTAAAATCTCTCTTGAGAGAGAAAGGGGGAGGGAGAGAATGTCAGAAAGTTAACGGGTATTATATTAAATGCATGCAGAATACATTGTTTTCCTTGATATTGTGACCTAAAACTACTAAGACATATATTTAATGTTATTATTTAGTGGCGATGTCTTAAAAAATAAAGTACTATCATTTTAAATAATTTATTTTTTTCATACGCATTTCGTTTCATTATTGTTCTGTTAATTAGTGGCTCAGCTTTGACTTGAAACAATTAAATTGAAATGACTCAACAGCTCAATGGGTTTCTTGGATATTGCATCAACAGCGTGATTATTGGACACATTTTTATATGTTGAAAAAAATAAACGCACGCTGTCTACAGTACATCTTTCAAAATGATGTGCGAGGTGCACTTGCCATTAAATGGCATTAATTGTGCTTTTTATCGTTCTAACTTTTCTCGTGCAATATGGCGACAGTGACCATAGATGTGAAAAAAGTTTATTTAGAGGTCGCCAGTCTATTCTAGGAAAAAACTATGCATGAAATAAACGTAAAATGTGAAATGTCTTGTTATAACAAGCTGGACATACCCGTCGTATATAAATAAAGTCATCTACGTAGCATTATCTATATTTAGAGATAACTCTTTCATGTGAATAATCACGAGTTTCTGCAACACCCTCTTTTTATAACAAAATCTGACTGCTTGATATTTCTGCGTTTTATTATAACTACAAGAAAAACGCAATGTTTTTTTTTTTAAACATTTCAAATAATTTTCAGGTTAGGATATGCAGCCATGTTTCACCAAATTTAGGTCCCCAAAGGCATTAATTCGTCAAATATTTCTCTCCGCGATCACTTTGTCCAGGAAAATGGAGTTGTTTGTTGGCTCCGAACACTCCGATCTGTATCAGAAGTACCGACCCACATATCCCCCAGAACTCTATGCTTTTATTGCCAATTTCTGCAAAACTGGGAGAGGGAGTTTAGATACGGCGGTTGATGTTGGGTGTGGGACGGGCCTAAGCACCCTCCCGCTTTGTAAATACTTCAATAAAGTGATCGGAGTTGATGTTAGCGAGACCCAAATAAACACAGCACGGACAACACACAGACAAAGTAATTTGATGTTCCATACAAGCAATGGAGAACAACTTCAGTTCTTGTCCGACTGCAGCGTCGATTTGGTGACGGTTGCTCAGGCAATGCACTGGATAGAACCGGAACCATTCTACAGGGAGGTAACAAGGTGGGGAGCATTCTGAACACTTTGCCTAATTATTGTTTTATAATACTGTATCTTTGTCCTTGATCCATTGTCCTAGAACAATCCTCTTTATTTATACATGTACATGAAGACCATTCGCTAATTTGAAAATTAAACATACTTTTGTACTTCTATTTTTAACTGAATTGAAAGAAAACAGGAAAATAATTTTTTTTTATAAGAAAGTTTTTTATAAGTCTATGAATTCATTATTTTCCCACATTTTTCTCTCTTGACGTCAAGGATTCTGAGGCCCAGTGGTAGTCTTGTAGTTTACGGGTACGGGATTAATACGATTGATAGTAACGAGGGCAACAAGATCATAGATAAAGTAAGTTTTGAACTTTCTACCTGAGACTAATTCTATATTATATGGACTGTGCCTCTGGTATCCCAAATATTTCAAAAACTGTAGTAAATAGTATATTTGCTCTTATCTGTTTTAAATACTGTTTTGAGCACATTTGTTTTAATCAGTTTTACAGTCATGACTTGGAGGGTTTCTGGGACTCGAGGAGACGCCATATTGATAATTTGTATCAGGAAATAAGTCTTCCATTCTCCGGGTCGGAGAGGTATTAACATCTTTTTTTTTTTTATAGATGACTAATTGTCTACGATTAAATTTTGAGAAATATTGGAAATACTGGATTTTCATCTCTACTGTTAGTTTCTTTTAGGAGAATATAATTTGCTAATGATCCTAATTTTGATCAAAAAATTGAAAGCCTTCTCTTCAGAGTTAATCAAAGAGATCTCAACACAGATATATTCGATATACATGTATAGAGATAAAAACTCTGCAAGTAATTTGTCTCAATATATAAGCTTTAGGTTTTCCTTAATAGACTACATCTTATATTTGGATTCAATGTAGGATCTCAGACTTTGTCATACAGAACAGATGGTCAGTTAGTGACGTGGTGGGATATCTCTCTACGTGGTCAGCCTGGCAGCGATATCTAAAACAACACCCTGATTCCAACTTACTGGTGGAAATTCAGCGTCAGTAAGTGAGGGGGGTTAATGGGATTCTGAAACAGGACTTGAATCGGAATTGCAGAATGGGTTATAATAGCGATGGGAGGATGAGGCTATGCATCTAAGGACACGCACGTAATTGCATCAGAACTATACGTAGACATGGAGAGCTTCTAAAATGTAAGGGGGAGGAAGAGGAAACGCAACCGTAATCTCTCCAGGGAATGTTAAGGGTAGTGGAAACTCTTTGACATGTTTAAGATGATTTTTATAGTGAAATATAAATTAATATTTTATTTGCATATATATCTTACGTGCGTTTTTGTCTGTATTTTTAGTTTGGAAAATATTTACCAGGACCAAAAGATAACCATTACATGGCCTGTGTTTGTTTTACTTGGAAGAAAGGAATCCGAAAAGAAACCGTAACATTAGATAATTGTTACAGAAAGGACGATTCTAATTTTAGAAGAAAATAAAGGTTGTGATGTTTCAGCATGAATCAAAGAAAATACATTTTCATGGAAAAGTTTTAGCAGATGTTATTATTGTCCCGGTGAAAATTTATGCATTAAAAATTACATTGTATCATACTAGTATTCTTTTCGTTTATTGCATATTTGTACTACAATGTACAAATGCAAAAGTAAGCAAATAATAATAATTAAATAATAAATATGTGATCAGACCTGTAAATTAAAGAGTAACTGTAATTTGCATGTATGTATTTAATGGTTGAATAATTTTTAAAAAAATTTATGTAGAGATTGAGATGGTTTACAATTACCAGCAAGTTACAAAGAAGATGGGTGAACAAGGCGTGCAGAATGCCTATAGCTTCATATATTAAAAAAAATCATATTCAATGTGTGAATTAAGTATTTAAAGTAAAGTTCTCATTATTGAAATTTATGAAATTGTGATCAACAAAACTTTTCTGAGAAAAAAAGATCTCGGAATTTTTTTTTCTTTTATTACGAAAATAAAATGGTATTCGTAGGATTCGAACCCCTAACAATAAAAATCCAGAGTATCATAGACTAAAACGCTAACCACTACGCTACACAGTTCCTGATGAATATTAGTATTTAAATCATGTTTGTGATATGACCCTTGACTTAATTTCTCGGAAAGTTGCGAATGCTTTGTCATAAAAGTGCACTTTTAAGGTATAGTGGGTCTTTGCTCCATGTTTTTGTAAACCAAAAAATGTATATTTTTATGCAAAGTTTTAGGATTAACTTTCAAAAAAAATGGAGCGAAGACCCACTCATATCGAAAAATTTTGTTAAAGTGTGAGAAAATGATCCTTTTTGTCCTCATTAGTGTGTGTATGCTATTTCGTAGGCAAATAATTTCAGTCTTTGTGAGATTTTTGTAAATTGTAGAGATTTTACATAAAGTATACTTTAATGTTAGATGAAATATCAAAGAAAATTTTGATATAATTGAGATTTAATTTTTCACTTCATGTTTGTTGCACTATAGGCACTTTGTCCACCTTGTTCACCCATCTTCTTTCTCCAACACATTTATGCTTAATAGAAGTCAATATATGTTAGGTATGAGTTATGAACTGAGGCATAAATAGTTGCCCTGCATTCACTGATCCACAAAACATGTTAGGTGGTTCATACATCATAATACACTTAAAAAAATAATTCAATACTATAAACATTAAAAGCCATTTATAAATCATATCATTTTATTAATTTTCAGTAACTTAAATTTTCTGAACAGTATAGCAGCAAGTTTAAAAACAATTTGTTGTTTTATGTGTGTTACATGTAAAAGACGACAATTCGATCCTGTATGAATATATTTTATTCTTAAATCTAAAATCATTTCATCATATCATGGATTATCTGTTATAAAATAATAGGTTCCTCTGTAGATAAGTGAGAAAGAACCTAAATGGATTTTTTCATCATATGAATCTTTGAAAGTGTTTGGGGAAACAAACTAACTTAAAAAAAAATTCATAGACACCTGGGGCATGACCGCCCCCTCCCCCCCCCCTTTCCAACTTGATCTGGAATTGACACACTCTTATCTAATCATGTTTTTTAATATACATTTTAACTCCTTTCAACTTATGTATCTTTTTATCGATATCACCCGAAAACGAGATGCAATGTATATCGTGTGTCGGTTAAGAAAAGTTGGAAGGGGGGCCATGTCTTAAATTCTGTGCAAAACAGGGACAAAATCGTGGCATCGCTAATCAGTGAAATTTATATATACTGGACTAACATTTCTTATCCCTCTACATGTAATTTTAATCAAATGAAAGTTCAAGCAAGTTTAAACTAAAATTCGTTCTCATACTTATATGTCAAGAAATGCACTTCATACTGCACAATCATCTGACAATATACTATTCTATTCTATAATTAAACAACCCTATATGCTGTACATGTATAGTAACAATAAACAGATCGTGATTGTTGTTTACATCACCTCCCTCGTCGTCATCGAATAAGAGTATCGGCATTGCTGGCTTAATCCTTATTCCGATAGCCTATTTTGATTTCTAATATAGTTATAGATATCTAATAGAAATCAAACGAATCAAGTAAAATGTACGTTCGGTATATTATTTGATTGTCCTCAGTGGTGTCACAACACTGGACCTCGAGAGGTGGGCGGGGCACCTGCTCTGCCTTTCCATGGTCGGTATATAATGTAAGCCATGAACAAATAGCTCATAAGGAGGAAAGTTGATACTCCAACAGTCAGTCCTGTTAATATAGAATACAGCACATATTATGTATATGAGTCATAGGATACAGTACATATTATATATATGAGTCGTGCAAATTAATAAAAAAAATATTGAGAGAGAGAGAGAGAGAGAGAGAGAGAGAGAGAGAGAGAGAAATACCTATATTCTGTTCTTTTAAAATGGTAACGATGTTTGTAGTTGTATTCGTCATCTGAGTACTTCAATCATCAATGTTTTTGGTTAAATGTATCGGTACACGCCCCCTCGTTGTATAGTACTGAAAATCATTTTCCGGATCTAATATTTTTTATTTAAGTATTTTCATGACTGATATAAAAAGTTGTATTTGCAATAATTAAGAGCCATTTTTCAACAGATTTATATATGTATTTATAAATACAATGTTAGCTTCTTCGTATTTCATAAAATTCGGATTTCAGAGGTTTGTACTAAATGGTTTTATTTGTTATAAAAACTAAACATGGCAGCGCCCTTGACGCAAATCATGTCAGTCCGAATTTGTCGACTCTGCGCTCGATTTCGACAAAGAAAAGAACAAATACAGGTATGGGCCATTTTCTTAATTGTCTGTTGCCTTGCCATGCTTTGTTTTACACACACTCTGTCATGAAAATTTATATACTCGCCATGATTTATGACTTTATGACAGACTCCCCCCCCCCCCCCCCCCCACCCCAAGATCATTTAACTGCTTAATACAATACTTATATTTACACTCTGTTTTCCCACTTGATTTTTTTTTTCTTTCCATTCTATAAAAAATTTTAATTATCAAACAATTCAATACGTCGATACAGGCTTTTGTTGCTTTGTGACATGTACCAAAAAGGCGACATTTTAATTATTGTAATTTGTAACATTTTAAGACATAACCATCTCGGAAACATACAAATTGTTTATTTGTCTATGTTTTATTATAGATAAGATGTAGCCTTCATAAATCAATGAATGACAATGAATCAAACAATACAAACAGTTCAAAAGAAGACAGTCTGGGGCAAACTTCATCTAGGGATTTTCCAACAGCAGAATGGACTTCTGAAAATAAACCAATAAAGCCGTCCATACTGGCATCTCCCAGACTGTTTCCAAATCATGTCAGAGCAGATCCTGATGCAATGGCCAGAGTCCAAGTCACAGAGAAAGGCCTAAAGTACAAAAAACATCCAGGAGTCATTAGGTCAAGAAAGGTCATTGAAATTCCCAAATTAATGGAAAAGGCACTGAATATTATTTACAAAGGTATGCAAACATTTTGTGGATGTGTGTGCATTTTTTGTAGTAGCTAATGAAGTCTACAGATTTTCCTCCTGTTTTATCAATGAATAATTGGAAAATTATTACAATAGAATACTGCTAGCTAAGCTTAATCACATTTAAAAATGCAGTTTGTTGATTTGAATATTCTTCCAGTTATAGAATCTCACTGAGAAAACTCACCTAATTGGGTTAACAAAAGTATCATTGTGTTTAGATTCTGGTTATAAGACCCTGAATGAAGAAGGTATGAAGCTATACAATCAGCTGACGGCTCGTAGATTTCCAGAGACTATCTTATCTCTAACAGCTAAAGCCCAGCGTCTGGAACCAGAAATCATACAAAGACTGTCTGTCAAACAACGCACAAAGCTAGAAGGTAACAACAAACAAGGAACATTCTGTCATCCTTATGAGTAGAGAAATTGTGGAAGATGTTGAAAAGAATTAATGTTTAAGTACATGTAAGAGTTTATAGAAATTAACTTAGTTATGCTTTGTAGACAGTGCTGATAGTTGGGATGAAATGGAACACATTCTTCACAATACGATACATGTTGTATAATTTTGTCATGATATCGTTATTTCCCACACAATACATTTAAATAGGAGGAAACAAATTCAGAGTTGTTTTTTGTTTCACTAAAAACCAGTTACTTAATTTACATGCAAATTGACTAGAAGAAATTGATTAGAAAGAATTGTCTGATAATGATTATTCTACAAACTATACGTCCTCAAAAATCACGTTTTTTCTTTAAAAAGTTTAATCATGTGGTGTAGCATGTTTTTTTTACAAATGCCAAACCTGACTGAATAACGATCCTGACTGAAAAATGAACCGAACTGGAAATGGAGATTTTGCCTGTGTATCAAACCGACAAATAAAACCTGCAGTGAACTGATACTGCTGTGAACTGTTTCACTCATAGCTGATAGATGTAATGGCTCATAGTTTTCTTGGTTAACATTTAAACAAGGTTAAAATGGTAATCCTTCTTCATTGCCTGCATTTAGCCATAGTCAGTAAAGATTGTCTGACTGAAGAGGATGAGAAGGCACTGAGAGAAATACAGCGGAATGTTCTGGATAACATTAAACGAGAGTTACGAAGAACAACCCATCACAACAAACCTATAGTGTAAGTCAACAACCCATCACAACAAACCTATAGTGTAAGTCAACAGCCCATTACAAAAAACCTATAGTGTAAGTCAACAATCACAACAAACCTATAGTGTAAGTCAACAATCACAACCAACCTATAGTGTAAGTCCAACAACTCATCACAACAAACCTATAGTGTAAGTCAACAGCCCATTACAAAAAACCTATAGTGTAAGTCAACAATCACAACAAACCTATAGTGTAAGTCAACAATCACAACCAACCTATAGTGTAAGTCCAACAACTCATCACAACAAACCTATAGTGTAAGTCAACAAACCAACACAACAAACCTATAGTGTAAGTCTGAACAACCCATCACAACAGATCTACAGTGTAAGTCAACAACCCATCACAACAAACCTATAGTGTAAAACAACAACCCATCACAATAAACCTATAGTGTAAGTCAACAACCCGTCACAACAAACCTATAGTGTAAGTCAACAACTCATTACAAAAACCTATAGTGTAAGTCAACAACTCATCACAACAAACTTATATCAACAACTCATCACAACAAACCTATAATGTAAGTCAACAAGTCATCACAACAAACCTATAGTGTAAGTCAACAACTCATCACAACCAACCTATAGTGTAAGTCCAACAACTCATCACAACAAACCTATAGTGTAAGTCAACAAACCAACACAACAAACCTATAGTGTAAGTCTGAACAACCCATCACAACAGATCTACAGTGTAAGTCAACAACCCATCACAACAAACCTATAGTGTAAAACAACAACCCATCACAATAAACCTATAGTGTAAGTCAACAACCCATTACAACAAACCTATAGTGTAAGTCTACAACTCATCACAACAAACCTATTGTGTAAGTCTACAACCCATCACAACAAACCTATAGTGTAAGTCTACAACCCATCACAACAAACCTATAGTGTAAGTCAACAACTCATCACAACAAACTTATAGTGTAAGTCAGAGTGGTAAATAAAGTATTCTACAGTTTGACTTAGATTTTAAAATTTTGTAGGAGGTGAGAAAATCTACTAGAGATAATTAAACTGCAATTGTAAAAGTTCAAAAAGATAAGTTTTATGTCCAGTTACAGCTTTTCTCTTACAATATCACAAGTTCAGACTTGTAGAGCTTCAGTCTCACAAGAGACTTCTGGTCTTGTACTTACAGGTACAATGCAGACTTTGCTTTGAAGTACACAAATGCCAGACTGATCCCAAACTACAGTGTACTAACCCAGTGTCTGACTGAGGTATGATTTATCTCATCATCAGTGTGGGCATCCCTCTGTTCACTCATTTAAAATTTTGCTTTAATATTAATGGTTTTCCAAAAGAAATCTAATTTATATTTAAAATGCACACAATATCAGTATACCTTATGACAAATATACCACCCTTTAACCTGAAAAGGAATAAATTTAAAGTAATTAATTCCAGTGATGGTTATCTCTCTTATTAGAGGGTCAATGAACCTGGGAAAATAATGTTTATTTCAAAATTATAAAAATAATTTTATACCTTGAAGATTGAAGCATACCTTCCATATTCTCTGTTACCATTTTACTTTGTTGTTTAAATTGAATTTTGCTCTATGCAGATAAGAAAGCGTGACCCTGACTTTGTGCCAGAGAGTGTGTTAAACATGGGTTCAGGAGTGGGCTCTGCTGTCTGGTAAGTTTAGAATCTAGAGTTTTGTTTTATAAACTCAAAAGTTCTAGTTTGTGACAGATCTTTGTCTCAGATCATGATTATCATCAATTTAACTTCAATTTGGAGCAATATTGTAACTTACATATACAATTAAAATATGCTTTTCATTGCACACATGTGAAAACTAAATTCACAGTAAATACACGTATGTTCAAGGCATTATGGTCCATGTACAACAGTGTATTCAATTTTGTATGGATAAATCACAGACACTTGTTTCTGTAATAATTTTTTTAACCCATAGTATAATATACTATGGGTTAAAAAATATATTAAAGGAACAAGTTTTTATGGGATAAATGTACATGTACATGTATATATAATTTGAACAGAAATATTTCTATGATATGTCAGAACCTATGTTCTTTTTTTTGTCTGCTTTACAGGGCAACCAACACTGTTTGGCCACAGTCTGTTAAACAGTACTACTGTGTGGATAATGCCATAGAAATGAACAAAATGGCTGCTCGGATATTAAAAGGTAGGACAATAAATCTTGTATTTTTTTTTTAATGGTAGACATTTCTGAAACAACCTTTCCATCATATTAGGATATATTTTCTCACTTGTCTGAAAACTTTTCAATAGTATTTTGTCTAATCTCAAAGCAATTTAATAAATAATGAAATCGTTATCCTGTTTAGTCCATAGGCATGTGTATTCTGAGTAATCTCCATGAGTGTTCACACAATGTACCGACAACCGACAGGTTACTTCACTTTTAAACTAAATCACTGAATCTGCTTTGATTTTTAATTTATTGTACACAATAAAACACGCTTATCATGAAGTACCAGGGGTGGACGATTTTGCTTCTTGAGAAACATAATTCATTTTATACATTAAGGTCACAATATAATTTAAAGCCACAGGGAATGGAAATGACTTTGCTGTAAGCATCAATTCATTAGAAGTGTGTTCGCTGAGTGTGTTTTATTGAACTTTGATTTTTTTCATGCAGAGGGTGATGTAAACAGACAAAACATGGTGATACCCAATGTCTTCTTCAGGGACAAACTACCATCACTTCAAAGTGTGAGTTTTCGAACATCCTGTAAAGAAAGATTGATAAGTTGAGATAATAAAACATTAAGTAAGACATGCTTGTGTCAATATTTTATAGTTAAGTCATTCATATAAAACATTTGATGAACTTCTTCATCAGTTTTTCCATTGTTTATAGGGGGGATTTTCCCTGGTAATTTGTGCCTATACTTTAATGGACTTTCCTATGCAGAGTGAAAGGCTACAGTTGGTCAAGGATCTCTGGAGTAGAACAAATGATTATTTTGTAAGCTTTATTGGTATTTTGTTTTTTTTTTTCATTATCGTTATTGAAAATTTTTTTTAAGAAGTTAAATTTGTGAACAGTAAAACACGCCTATAATGAAGTGCCAGGGATGGCCGATTTTGCTTCGATGTAAACGTAATTCGTTACATCCTTAAAGTTCACAATATATTTTTAAGATATTGGGAATAGAAATCACTTCGCTATAAGCATCAATTCGTTATAAGCGTGTTCACTTATAAGCATGTTTTACTGTATATTGTTATGTCTTTTCCTCGGAGTCTTTCATGAAGTCAGTTTATTAAACATTATCAAAATAGATTTCATAGAAAAATATAAAGGTTGTCAAAAAATTCATCAAAATTGAATCTCACTAGACTCTCCATATATGCTGGAAAGTAAGAGCTTTTTTTGATATTGGTTATATTTGCAATGAATTTTTAAATTACTCCCAATGATATCAAGGTCTGATAGAGATCAAAACTTTGAATTGTGTTTGCCCCTGACTAGAAGATAAACCTTTTTTTTTTTACTTTCATTGCAGACATTCTACATTAACAGTTGATCCTTCTTAATGTTGCCACAAAGGGGGGGGGGCATGTATGTTTCTACATGTAAAACATTTCTCATTTTAACTTCTTTAAGGTGTTAGTGGATGTTGGGACTTATAATGGTTTTCTGGCAATACAAGAAGTCCGTCGAAGACTCTTAAGGGTAAGTACAGATAATGGACTAGTATAAATTCAAGTTTGTTCATATTGTAGCCTAATTCATTAACAGTACAAAACTACCTCTCATTTCAGAGAGACAAGGGCGTTGATGTTGATGAAATGGATGTGAATATTTTTGCTCCTGTACGTAAGAATGGTGTATAGTATATTCATGTGCATATCACTTCTGTTTTGTGTATCCTTAATTTTTAAACTTGAGCATTATATGTCTATTTTCTAGATATAAATTTCATTAATTTTCCATGTGATAAGAAGTTAGAGTTACCTTTTGTCATTATTGAAAAGGAATTCTATCAAAATAAATCAGTTTTTAAAAATATCAAAGCATGTATTTTAAAAAGTTTTTGCAAAAAAAAATATGAGTTACAGTATACAACATTTAATATACAGAAGTATTTATATATTTTGCTGTTTCAGTGTCCCCATAATCAACACTGTCCTAAATTTAAATGTGGTCCTGAAACCTTACCCTGTAATTTTGAGGTTCATCACCAGCCGAGGAGAGGGGAGGTTAGCTGTTACATTCAGTAATCTTTGTTCCAGTTATTTCATATGTCTGGAAAAGTTATAACATTATAGCTGTAATTCCTGGCATTCTGATCTTTGGAAATTCTGTTGCATGTCTAGATTTTTACTCTAATCAAGTATTTGTTTATCCAGAATTTCAACATGTTCAATGTACTAGTAACTGTGTAACTGTGAATTTTTCAAACATGTATCTCTTTATATGAAGTTTTTCTGATAAAATTCAAAGCTTTTAATAAATGTCTAAAGAGAGATATAATTTAACATTCTAGAAAACTGCAAATACAATATAACTTGAGTCTTTTCTTTATTTATTACAGAAAAAAATTGTTAAAATCTTAAATTGCAGTAATTTAAATTTTTTGTCCTTTTTGGGCAGCTTCAACACAGAATCTCTGCAACAGAAAGATACAGCTATGTCACGTTCAAACGAGGAGATTTGGTAGAAGGTAGATAAATACTTTTATTCCTATCATTAATAATCTTGATATCACAAATAATATTTAATAACTAATTTCTTTATCTCATCAATATTTGTTTTCTACATTTTCAATAAATCAGTCAAAAGACATGTAACCTGCATACAAGTGTATACCTGCATTTGTGTCTCAAAGTACATGTAATTAATAAGATATTCTAATGTACTTGCACAAAGGTCTGTTGTTTACCTTAAATGTATTTAATGTTTTTAGACATAACAAACAACTGGCCAAGAATTGTATTCCAGGACATAAATGAGCAAAGTAAGAAGAAAATTGCGCACTGTGTGGTGTGCTGTCCAGACGGGAGTCTGAAAAACAGGATAATCAGTCGTAAAAGACACGGAAAGTAAGGGGAAATCATTCTTAGTCTGTCCTTATAAATTAATGGGCAGACACTCTCTTTGATAGAATATCAGAGAAAGTTAGAGGTAGTAGCTCTTGGTCCCCCTCTAGTAGAGATGGTTTAAAAAGGAAGACCCAGTCACTGTAAATCACTAGTCTAATGAAGGTTACATAGACTAGTAAAGGTTAGTCACTCTGTGTACCCAGTAACAGAGAGTTCACTGTATGGATAGTCTAGTAAAGGGCAGTCACTCTGCCACAATGTACCCAGTAACAGGGAGTTCACTGTATGGATAGTCTAGTAAAGGGCAGACACTCTGCCACAATGTACCCAGTAATAGAGAGTTCACTGTAAGGATAGTCTAGTAAAGGGCAGTCACTCTGCCACAATGTACCCAGTAATAGAGAGTTCACTGTATGGATAGTCTAGTAAAGGGCAGTCACTCTGCCACAATGTACCCAGTAATAGAGAGTTCACTGTAAGGATAGTCTAGTAAAGGGCAGACACTCTGCCACAATGCACCTAGTAATAGAGAGTTCACTGTATGGATAGTCTAGTAAAGGGCAGTCACTCTGCCACAATGTACCCAGTAATAGAGAGTTCATTGTATGGATAGTCTAGTAAAGGGCAGTCACTCTGCCACAATGTACCCAGTAATAGAGAGTTCACTGTAAGGATAGTCTAGCAAAGGGTAGTCACTCTGCCACAAAGTACCCAGAAAAGATGGCTTGTCACTTCATATTTTCAAGAATATGTTGAAAGCAGACACTACCACATGTTGGTCAGAAATATTAAAAATATTTCTGAAAGATTCAAACAAAACTAATCACATATGATACTGTAGATTCCTTATTGTAAATGAGGAATTTATTTCTGCATGCTAGAAGCACCAGTAACAAAGAACACAAAATAAAATTGTTCACTTTTATTCTTACATTGCTGAAATACATGTAAAAGGACTTGATTAAAAAAAAGTCCACTTGCTATTTCATATTCATGCAATTTGATGTCTATGAGTCATTTTGCAAAATTAAGTACATGTTCTCGCAAAAATTAAGGAATCTACAGTAGTTAATAATTTGGATGTAATCTTTTGCAAGATGAAAATATTTGTTTTTGTCATAACTTTCGGAATGTATCAAATTTTTTTTATGAAAATTAAACCTCAGTCTAAGATAAATACCCATCTGGTAGAGGTTGAGGTTAATCTTTGGTGCTGTTAATATGCATGGTGACTACTTCATTACAATTGCACCTATTAGTAATATGTTTGCAGTTTATGATAAAGGTCATCATTGAAAAGAACTTAAGTTTGTTGTTTTGGGTGAGTTTGTTAAAGATTGATGAGCTGATTAAGAAATTCTAAAACTTTATCTCTAATATTTTATTTACTAAACTGACGTAAACAATATTTTTCAGGGATTTGTATCGGATAGCGTGTGAATCACAGTGGGGTGACCTGCTTCCTGTGGAGCTAAATACAACTGAAAATGAGGATACAACAGATGTAGAAAATACATCACACACAAAAACACCTGTCAATGTTGAGCAAAAATAAATTATTTATTAACATTTTAAAAAAGGTGTTCTAGTGTTCATGTTTACTCCTTGAATTGATACTGATACTTTGGTCATTTCTGTGCTTGCATTGCTCGAAGGGGATAATACATATCATTACTGGATAAATGTATCTTCATACATTATATGTTACCAAAACATCTAAAACTTTAATTGTCCCCTGCTTTTAACCGAAAGCAAGGGGACATTAAATCTCATTGGTCTGTCAGTCTATTTGTCACAAAAACTTTTACTTTGGTCATAACTTTTGAATGGGAAAGGATAGGGCTTTCATGTTTCACATGCAAGGGAACAATAAATCTCAAACATCTGTCAGTTTGTCCACCTAGGGGTGGGGGTAGGTTGGGACCACTTATATATTGAAAGTTTTCAATAATGAACTGATATCTGCATTTCTCTAGCCAAAGTCTCAGGTGAGCAATATGACCCATGGGCCTCTTGTTGTAAATTTAATTGTAAAAACAGTACATGAATAAATGTATGTACATTGAATATTTTTCAAAGACCAAGAGAGGCTTGTGGTATGGAGATCATGCTGAGTTTACTATGCTAATGCTGTGTTTTGTGCAAAATCACATTTGATAGTGATAAAGATGGTAACTAGCATATACAGAAAAGTTTCTGAGTCGTTGCTGATTACCAGGCTAACTAAATTTTGTTGATCCATGATCATCCTATTTCTCTTGTTTCTAAGTTTTAGTTCATTTTGTGTTTGTGGGATTGTATTATACTCGGGTGACCATGAATGCCTTTGAGCCCCTTGTTCAGTGTTGTAAGAAAATTACTGTAGTGTCATAGTAGCATAGTGCTCTATTTTGAAACTAATTGCACTGTTTTGAACTAAAAAACACATGGAATTTATGGAAATGTTGCTTATAATGTAGAAAGGTTTTTGACCATAAATATTACTAAAAGAACAGAACAGAATGATTAAAGAGGCTTATGCTGAAGCACTATATTGTACTTGTAATTATTGATACTAGTGTCAAATGGAAGTGTAGGTAGCACTGGTATATAAAGGCAAGTAAAAGTTGTTTCAGATTACTACAGAATGAGACAAACTGTTTTCTTGATCATTGAACACTCCATTTGTTTGTGCAAGAGCAACACACTTTTCCCTATCAATTTAGTTTGTTTTATTATAGGCTATTATGATCAAATTGCCATTCTATGGATTCTTTGCAGAGTTGTATCATACTCAGGTGACTGTTAATTTGAGCTCAATCTCTGTTTTTATATGTCTCTGTCTGTATGAAGACAATTTTTCAAATTTCACTTCTGACAACAGTTTCTATCAGATTTCAATAAAACGTGGTACACAAGTAATCTACTCTAAGATACATTTTTCTAGTAATTAGTTTTTGATTCTGACAAACAATGTACATTGCCATGGTTACTAAGAGTAGAAAGTCCTGTTTTCAAAATTCTGTTCCTCTTAAAGTTTTGTTCTGATTTCAGTAAAACTTGGTTCACAGACCATTAAATCAAGATATATTTGTATCGGTAGTTTTTTTTTTTTTATTTTTCAATGAGGTAAGTAGAATTCTTTCAAAATGCGTTTCCTTTTGCATTTTTTTTGTCTGATGACATTGAGACGGAATTTAGAAAACATCAAGATACATACTATAGAAAAAAGTGTCAGAGGCTTTGGTTGTCTATTTGCATATTCGTACCAAAGCTGCAAAGAGTGTTGACAGGTAGCACGTGGCCTTGTTTACCGAAAAGCATTTTGGTAAAAATGACGTCACGAGCGGAACCAAAATGGCGAACATAGTGACAAGTAAATGACAATGAGTGAAAAGAAAAGACGAACTTGACGATGTGAAGGAAAGATTGAATTATGTTTCACTTTGAGATAGTCATATACAATCATGGGTAAATACGAACGGTAATTTTGGCGACAGAGCCCCATGGAACGGGTTCGACAATTACTTGGCGCCTGTGAGCACGGGGAAGCCCCTGTAGCCCAAACCTTGTTAGATGAAGGGGTTGATGTGGATTGTGAGGATGACGAGGTGGGGATCACGCCTCTTCAGGTACGGAGAATTACTGTTTCTTTTATATCTAAATATTTGGTATGTGCCACTGAACATAGACAGAAAGGTAACCCCATCAGTTATCATGGTTATGGCTGATTTATCAGCTGATCAGCTGTTGGTTGCTTTTGGACATGTTGAGCAGATTTATCTACTTGATGAAAAGAAAGAGAAATTGATGAATCTCTGAAATGTGAATCATGTTGATGCAAAGAAACAGGTTCATAATTTGGGGTACTATTGTGTGATGAAAATAACAATGTGAACTCACAGCAGTAGTCTTTTAATCTAGCTTGCATTATTAGGGAATTGTAATATGTTGGAAACTTCAGATTTGATTTCGGCCAACATAATTGAATGCTTAATGTGTAATTTAGTATCTTCTCTTTTTTTAAAAGTCCTGTTATTGCAGAAAATCAAAATGGAAAATCTATCCAAGATTTAAATCATTGCATATATTGTACACATATTTCTATTTTATTAAGATTATATATATTATGTGTTTTATTTTTAGACAGCCGCAGCAAATGGACATGACCACATTGTACGTTTGTTATTGATGAGAGGGGCTGCTCTTAATAAAACCAACAATTATGGCTGGACTCCACTAATGCATGCTTCTAGAAATGGACATGCCAATGTTGTTGCAACATTATTGCAGCAACGTCAAGCAGACATTAATGCCATCACAGGTCTTGGTGCATCAGCACTCACTTTTGCTGCCAGAGGTGGGCATATTCAGGTAGTTCGGCAGTTGGTTGAGGCTGGTATAGAGTTATCTTCATCAGGTGGTGCTAATGAGTGTGATTTTACCCCTCTACTGGCAGCAGCTCTCTATGGACATGATGCAGTCTTACGATTCTTGCTGGATCGTGGTTGTGATGTGAATTTTAGGACGTCTACTTCAGGTTTAACACCACTGATGGTGGCAGCATTAAATGGACACATGAAGACAGCTCAGATCTTGGTGGAAAGAGGAGCCGATCCTAATGTGACTAACGCCAATAACAGAACAGCACTGGATATTGCCACTATGAGAATGAAGAGAGAGGTAGCTGCTTACCTGGATAGAAAAACAACCAATAAACCTGAGAGGGGTATGTTTTTTATTTCTCCAATTTTGGAAGATGGTAATTAGTGATGAAATTAAAAATAATATCAATGTTTTCATGCCATTTGGCACATGTAGCGTAGTACTTTTACCAAGACATTATTATAGAATGGAAAGTACTTAAAAAAAGACATTTAAGTGAAATGGTTGTCCCACAGACTATAAAGCCTACTAGTTTTTTTTAAGTTTATTGAATTTTCAATTTTTCTTTTTATTTGCTTAAGAGCTTAGTGGGAAAAGGTATTGCTTTGATGAAATTAAGACAGACTATGGCAAAAGATTAAGAAGAAAAATCCAAATGTTAAAATGTAGATTTACACCACCACTTGCCGCTGGAGAGCTGCAAATTTTGTCCTATACTCGGCACTTACTGCCATTGAGCAGTGAGGGGTCTTTTTCGTGCCAGCACCTACTGCGACACGGGACCTTGGTTTATACAGTCTCATCCGAAGGACCAGTCTCCACGTCCCACAGTGGGATTCGAACCCGCGACGTAAGGATCAACTCCTTACTCCATGACTCTAGAGCGAACCCTCTAACCACTGCGTCACGCGGGCAACAATGTAACCTGGTATTTCAGTCCTAAGGGACAACCCTGACTTGGTTGGGCAGAGTGAACTTTACATATGAATGTAGACAATTCTTATTACCGGCATTTGTTTGTTATGACTAGCCATTAAATGTTTGAATAGACACCCGATGGATATTTACTTTCAATTGATATTATACATGTGTGTTGATCAGAAGTTAAGACAGGGTAGATAACTCTATTAATTGTAGTTATATTTTTCACTTGTGTATATCCTGAATTCCAGACTTGCCAAGATGAAGTGTGAGTTCATTTCATTCCAACCAACCAAGTTACTTTACTCATACTATAAAACTATATGTATGCCATCCATAACAACCCAGAAACCACAGACTTGAAAGATACAGGGCTTAATTTACCCTATTTTGGTAAAGGGCCCTGTACCCTTTCAACTGGAAATTCTAGAGAAAGTAACAAAATTTGGAAATATTGGTGTCTTATATTAAGTTTTATTGTCGATTAAAAAGTTAGACTGAAGGCTCATTTCCTATTCACATCTTTATGAATCATTGAAATCTCAAAATTTCAAGTTTTTTAAATGTACAACCACTGAAAAATTCAATTTGCTTATCATTTGGGAATTTATATCTTAATTTTGAGAATAAAAAGTAAAATTTCAATTGGGAACAGGATCAGTCGTAGCACTACTTGTAATTGTGATGTTCCACTGATGATTCCTCAACAATGTCAAGTGATTCTATAGTCTTCTTGTTAAAAATCACCATTATTTATTTTTTTTTATGAAAAATCATGGTAATTGAACAAGTGTCATTTGGGGTTTCTTAAACACCCAATTTTACATTAACGTCCCCAAAATCTACCTAATTCAAGATCAATATACACTGCCTGTCAATCATTAAAAAAAAAACAATAGCTTCTGATTTGATTGACGGGCCAGTTACTTGGGCTACCTGATGATCTGAGTTTGCATGTTTTGAAAACAATTACCTGGTCATGCGTCAAACACTTTCATGTACAGCGTGAAAGGTCGCTTTGTTTACACTCTGGTTAAAAATAACCATGTTGCTGTTATATTGGTTGATAATTTTATTTTTGAAAAATAATTGAGAGTAGGTAATTAAACAGTCACTGTGACTTCGTGATTTTTTTTTTTTCAATATCCACTGCTGTTTTGTATTTGTTAGCGATATGACGTCCAAGGCAAATGTAGAACTTTTTGAACAAAAATAAGCAGATATTCAAGTCCTCTCTTCCTTCAATAACTGAGATCCGGAGAGAGAAGGTTTCTTAGCAGCACAGACTGCGATAATTCTTCTGAGCCCCTTATTCAACCGGACCCTCGGAAATTGAGAATATTTGGACACCATTGATCGCCAGAAAAGTAATTAATATTCCAATCGTGGTAAATGTCCACACAATAAGTGGAATCTTTTTATTTCAATATTCACACTTAATATTTTATAATAATTTCTTTTATTGGCGATTAAAATATTGATATGATTGCTTGGTATTTTTCGTTTTTTTTTAATTTTTAAAAAAGATATGTCTTTTTATTTTTTTTTTCTTTAAAAGATATCGACGAAAACGCTAGTCTACAAATTTTATATTTCAGTACATAATTCATTTTAAATATTTTCACTCAAAACGCATAATGTTGACCCTGATTACCAAAAACCGGACTTCCCATGTAATGCAGCATGTATAGGGATTTTTGACATCTTGAGTATTGGGGCTCTCCAGGTAAATAACACCAGCACTACCAAGACCACTCCCCCTCCTCAGGTAACCGTCCAGTAAAAAAATTGGGTTTTTAAGTGATTATAGGCACAAAAGAACATCATAATTAAAAAAACTATTATGTAATAATAAGAAAAGTACAGATTGTTCAAAAGGCAATATAATAATTACAAATTTTTTTAAAGATAATGATTCATGATATTTTAAGTCACATTGGAGGCAATGTACTTTGTGCGTTAAGTTTGACAGCTACAGAAATTAAATCATTATTTGGCCGTATTGATTGAGTGAACACTTCATTTGTATTCGGATTGCAGCTGTGTACAGTTCTTTGATTGTGTCCCAAGATAAACAACAAAGGTGTTATTTTTCTATTTCAAGATTTAAAGTACAGTGGCATATAGTGTCTTTGTATTATTATTAAGAAATTCAATAATTTAGTTGGTTTGTTTGAATTCATTTACTGTACATTTGCTCATTCAACATATTCAATGTTCTTGCATATATATTCGTTTTTTTCATCAACATGATCAATGGCTCAATTTCAATCAATTCACTCTGAACTGTGTCAGGCACTTACAAGTCAACTGCATTTCAATTAGTCAAACAATTAATGATTCTACATCTTGTGTTTTTTAATTAATTTAGAATGTTATTGTGTAAACAAATGCAGTATAAGGTATTAGATTCTGTAAGACATCACTTGAGTCAGTGAGGTGACTTGGAATTTTGTCCATCTTATGTTATATGTATCATGATTTCATATTTTTGCTTTTTTTGCCTTAACCTAGCTAAGGCCAATGTCACTCAAAGAGCAAGAGCCACTTAGGGCCTTTTTTGGCCCTGAGAATTTCTGAAAAATCGAAACTGCTCAGTTTTGGTTGAAAATGCAGTATTTATAACTTGGACTCTTGGTGACCGTGTATCTATTGAACATGACGTAATTTTCTCTCTAGTCAATGCATTATGACGTCATAAAATACGTCATGTTTCCCATATCCTGTAAATTCCCTTAAAAATCGCCAAAAGTTGAGGTATTTTTTCAATATTTCATATAGAGCACAACCTCTGATCCAAAATATGCAATTACATAATGAAAGATCTATTTCTGAAGATCACAAAACATGTTTAATTTTTGGATCGTGGGCTGTGCTCATATTTTAATTCTTTGCTGAAGGTAGTCAAATACGCATGTTTTCTGCAAAATTCAAGAACATTGCATTTTCTCAAAGATTGTTTTCCAATACCTGGATTCTCAAAAAAAAATATGTTGTAGGAAATGAAAGCACTAAGTCTCTACTTTATTTTGATATATGAAATAGGACAGAAGGTGATAGTCAATTAATTGATGTAAGGACAGGGCCATTTTATGCATAAAGTGAACCTAGCTCTTTGCAAGAAAGTATTCTTAGCTAATGATTGTGGTGGGATGGGAGTAGAGGTAGCGGTGTGTCATCCTCATATGAAGGGACATGCCCATTTCCAAGGAGAGAAAGTTTTAAGGAATATAAAAAAATTAATTAATTCTCAAGAACCCTAGTTAAGTTTACATTATGTATATGTTGTATTAGAAAAATGTTGATATTACATGTAGTATTTTAGGGCTATAAAATTTGATGAAAGAATGAATAAGAAAAAGAATCAAATAAAAGTAACCTACAGGTGACTGAGATTCCAGATAAAGAGTTTTTTTACTAGGTAAATCAGATGTTAAGCTTTTTAAATGCATGCATATACATGTATCATATTACAAATGCCCACCTCTGTTATCTACATGTACAGGAAAATCAGATTCATTGATTTTAATCATATGATATTCATATATATATAATTGTGTAATACATTGGGCAGTTAGAAATTGGGTTATTAAGTAGATTGATTAAATACATGTGAATACAAAAAAGATGATCAAAAGTATTTTATAAACAGAAAGACATTCAAAGTTAAATCACTTTTTATTGTAGCTACAGAAGAAAAGAAACCAGACATTATTGAAGCAATAAAATTTGGTAAGTTTAAATCACTGGTATTATATTTCACTCCTCAACTCTTATTAAAGTTTCAGTATTAAATGGTTAAGGTCAGACACCATGTTCCTCAAAAATACATAATTTTTCCCAAGAATTTGATATTGAAGTTCTCCTTCTTTAAGAAACTTCCTCACAAAAAAATTGAGCTACATTTGTGGAATATTCAGGAGGATGGTATTTCCTATATAATCCTACAAGAAATTACTTGAATTGCTCATATCTTGATCTATGGTTCATATATTTTTTTCCAGACATTTCAAAAACTGTTTAGAAATCAGCTGATATTAATCATTATAAATGATTTTGGTATATAACAAAGATGCAAAATAAGATATTTGAGGAATATGTGGCATCATACCTTAAGAGCATATTTTCTAATATTTCAGGGGATATTAAAAGAATTCAGGCCATATTGGACCAAGATCTGAGTCAGAGAGATGCTTGTTCCCCAGAAGAGGGTGCCACCCCTTTGATGTTTGCTTCAATGGCCGGACAGTTAGACATAGCCCAGTTACTAGTAGACCATGGCTGTGATATGGACAAACAGGACACTATCAGTGGGTGGACAGCACTTATGCAGGCCACCTATCATGGGTACATATTGTTTTATTTACATTTTGTTTTTTCATGTCTCCTTTAATTGAAGATTCATTGGTATATAGTTTTAGTCTGTCTGTTTTCTGTTTGTCTACAGGAACTTTAACCTAGCCCATAACTTTTGATCAGTCAGTGGTACCTGGCTTCATTTTTCACAAGTATATTCCTTGAAACAACACCTTTCTTTGGGTATCAATATATTTAACCTCTTGACCTTAGAATTTGACCCACTTTTGCAAAAATTTTACCAAACTTTAACATTGGCCAATAACTTTTAAACAATTGGTACTAGGGCTTTCATACTTCACATGTGTATTTCTTGTGACAAGACTTTACCTTGGCTTACATACCAACATTTTTGATCTTTTGACCTTGACCTTTGAGTTTTATCTACTTTTGAAAAAATTCAACCATGGCCATTACTTTTAAATGGTTGATGCTAGACCTTTCATACTTCACATGTGTATTATTTATGCCAAGACCTTTCCTTGGGTACCAACATATTTGACATAATTTCCTTGACCTTGGAATTTGACCTACTTTAAAAAATAAAATTAAGTTTTCATTTATCATGGACTATTATGAAAATCATGTTGGCAATACATACATATCGTGTGATGGGTCATTACTTCAGATGCCAATTTTGCAGTTCAGTTTACTGAAAAATTGAAACAATATAAGTAAAAAAATGAAATATGAACAGCAATAACCATGGATCATTACTCAATATAACTGAAAAATTGAAATTGCAAAAATTCAAACCATAAACATCTGAATGCCATGCATGTATTTCAAACATGAAAATACAAAAATATTAAGATGCAGATTGAAATCTTTTGAATTAAATTTAACACAAAGGGAAATATTCGCTGTTATGAACATTGTACCTCTTATTTATTTATTAATTTGCACGCTTATTACATATGTATTATGTCTAAATGTAGGAGAAGACCAGTTGCCATGTACCTGATAGAAAAAGGTGCAGATGTGACAATACAAGCCAAGAATGGATGCACTGCATTTGATATGGCTTCTCTCATTGGTGGGTTCTTTAAATCTTTCAGCGCAGAATTTAGGACTATAAATTTTTTTCTAAATTACCAATTTACATATATCATAGGTGGAGTAAAATTGATAGGGGCTGCAAGGGTAAAATAGACCTAATGATACATATTTTTTGTTGAAATATTCAGTACATGTAGCAGAGTATTATTTAATATCAATTAACTATCAAAGCATTAATTATTAAATAACGCCTTTTGCAAATTCAAAAACATTGCAATAATGATATGATACAGATTATACAATACTTTTATCTACAGATGATGTGGACACTGACTTGCTCCGTCTTCTGGCTTCTAAAGCTATGACTGTCAATAAAGTGGACAAGTCAAAGAAGCACTGGTCTAAACAGAACGGTGTGTCTGTGTCTGCCTCCACAGATTCAAGGTATATGTGTGGGAGGGAAGGAAATGGGGAAATAGGGTTAGAATCGGATGAATGAATATATAGTATAGGTTTTTTTCTCCTAAAATTTTCATGCAAAGAAGTTTGGCTCTATCAAAGAAAGAAATATATGTTGAAGTTTAATGTGCAAAATGAGGAAATTTTCCTGTCAGCGGCTTTTGAATGTAAATACTTGATGAAGCTAATTTTTTTAACTATATCAGTGAAATATTTTTTCTTTTTCAGCATTGATGATACGCAAAAGACAGGTCTTCGGGTTGGTGAAACTTTTCTGATTTGAATATTTTTCTCAGATGGACATTATCTTTGAGTTTACTCTTAAAAAATTAAATGCTGATAAATTCAGGTTTATCATTTATATTTTGAACAGGGATGGTTGAGCAGATTATCAAACCGATTCCGAAACATTAAGAAAATTAATGTGACGAATCGTCTAGCCCCGATGCCAACTCTGGAAACCTCTATATCTGTCCAAGATTTATCCTTCAAAAATAACTCTAGTCCCACAGTGGTAAGATCATTCACATATTTTATAAATCTGAACCTTGTCATGAGGATCAATATATCAAAATCCACTTTGATTTTTTATAGCATTCAGTAAAATAGAAAATTAACATTTTTTAGTATTAATTTATTGAAATAATTTTGCTTATGATATAATACAGATTTAAGAACTTGAAGTGTACCATAATTTTATCAAAGTGGTATTGACTGGTTAATTTTTTCCAGCCAAAGAAAGTAAACAACTTTGTTGATCCCATACAAACTTCATCTGTTACCAACTATGGAACAATGACTTTGGAAAATAAGCAGAGTGCCTCCCGTTATACTTTGGTAGGTTTAACTCTAACTTAGTTGTCTAAGGTGTACAGTAAATACAACTTTATTCAATTAATACTGCAAGAAGCACAGTTTTTCTTTAAACTCATTTTCACAAATTTCACAACATTGATGCATATTCTTTGAAGGATATCAATCCAATGAAATCCAGCCAGACGAGTGATACACTGAAACCCGTCATCCCTCCATTTCTGCCCCAGCCCAGCTTTGCAATCGATGAGTCTCTCCCTGGCCGTCGATCAATGAGCACCTTAGGATCAGACACTGCTAGTGCAATCATGGTCAGTTCAGTGCTTTTACACTATTCAATTCAAAGATTTCGGTTTGCAAATAATTCATTAATAAACCTAAAAATGTGGGAAAAAAGAATTGCTGGTACACTTCATATTGTAATTCATATTACATTGATCATTACTGAATCTAAGGGTTTCATTCATTCATTATGTAAATTTGAGAGGATTATTTAAAAAAACTCCATTTATTTATTACAGCCATCACCCATCCGTCCAATGATGAAGCCTATGAAATTCTTGCCTCAGAAGAGTACTACATTGAGTTCCAGTCCCATTAGTCCATCAAGCTCAGCACAGTTGTCCAATGGCAACAGTAACCATAGCAACCCTAGTCCAAGTTCCTCTGGTAAAATATGAATGGTCTAGATAATGCAATCTTTCTTATTAAAGAATCGTTAATAAAGTTGCTTATTTAAATATGAAGAAATAGTTTTTGATTAAACCTTTTTTTTTGAGTTGTGAAATATTTGATAGCTGAAAGATTGATATTACAGGAGAATATCAGCAGAATGGAGTGTTCTGGAACCAGTCTAACAAATCTCCAGGCATTTTTGCCCCTCGGAATCCCCCACAAAGACAATTCTTTAAAAAGCCCTCCACAGTGCCCTCTGCTTTTAAAGCCACATCCAACACAACTTCACCAAACAGTTCAACCAGTGGCAGTTCATCTATCACACCTCAGCGATCACTTGGGAGGAGCACATCATCTAAAGGCAGTACCACATCCACCCTCACCCCATCTCCCTCCCCCACTCCTGGGAAGGTAAGGAAACACTGTCACATATACAGAGTTTATATCTGTTTAAAATTTGGTAAATTTAATTTGGTTCATAAAAGATAAACTTTATGATGTCATGTTTCTAAATTAATGGCATTTTGATCAGATTAAAAATTACGAATAAAGGTCACGTGTACAGCTGTGCAAGGTAAAGCTATATCTAAAGTAAAATTGGATGTTCATTTTTAGGGGCCATTTTAGTCACTTATCATACAGTGTATTGCTCTTTTTATAATTTGTAATTCTTATCTTGTGTAAATATTTGTTTTTGTATATTTTAAGTATGGAGAAGACCCCAATCGTGTTCTTAGTTCACTTCATGAAAATGATGGCTCCACTGATGGTATATATTTTGTTTATTCTTTTCTTGTTTATAATGTGTTTTAAAATGTTAACAGGATCAACTAAAGTTTGAAATTGTATTTTTTTATGCATTCATTTGTCATAATTTCCACCTAATGAGCTTATTGCTTTCTTTAAGAACTTTCTGGCATTCTGAAGAAACTATCCTTAGAAAAGTACCAGCCTATATTTGAGGAACAAGAGGTAGGATTGCTGTGATAAATTACATGTATATTTTTATGCACCGCCATGAATATGGCCCAGGCATTAAGTGTTTTTCATGTCTGTCTTCCTTCCTTCTTTTTGTCCCTTTGTTTTAAAGACACCATTCAAGATATATTTACCAAACTTCATCTGCTGATACAATTTGGTGAGAGCTTTTCAACTGCATCAAATTATTTTTCAACTGCATCAAATTATTTTTACCTTGACCTTCCCTTTGACCTCATTTTCTTAAGTTTGTGTTTAGCTCAGTTTCAAAGAAACTATTCCAAGATATTTTTCTCAATCAAAAATGCTGAAACATATTACTGTAGTAAGTGCTATTCCACTGCATCATTTTTTTTCACCTAGACTTTCCCTTTGACCACATTTTCTTAAATTTGTGTTTAGCACAGTTTCAAGTTAACTTTTTAGCAAACTTCATAGGCTGATACATATTGGTTAGAATTATTGAACATCATCACTGCATCCAATTTTTTGACCCTGACCTTCCCTATGACCTTTGACTTTACTATTTATTGTGTTTAAACTCAGTTTCAAAGAAACTATTCAAGACATTTTCATCAGACTTGAAACTTCATACACTAGTAAAAAAAATGTTAAGAGCTATTCAACTGTATCATAATTTTCTGACCTTATCCTTCCCTGTGACCTTGACCTCACTATTCCTCATTTCCCTAATCTTAAAAAAGAAGCAAGGTACATTTCTTTAATGTTGCATTACAAATGAACCCTTGGCAGGGATTTCATGTCCTATGGACATACCCTAAGACCTTGAAAATTAGCCGGATTTAATAATAAGCCGGTTTTGAAAATAAGCCACCTATTTCTTGCATTGAAAATTACTCGAAAATAAGCCTGATTTGAAAATAAGCCGGTATTGATAGTTCCATTTAGAACACAGTGTTATTTTTAATTACAATATATTTTATTTCATTATAAACATTCTTTGACATTAATGATTTTATTCAACAAAGCACAAGATATTAAAGCACTATTATTTTCTTTTTAGCTCACAGAAATCTTGACATTCATTACATGTCGTCTTTATCCTCGCAGAAATAATTTTATTTCAACAGTGCACGAGAAACTGTTGAACTTCAGTTTTATAAAATCGACTTAAATCTTTATTTAGCAACGGTAATCATGACTGTGTGCATCACGGTAATCTCTTATTTTCAACAGAGCTTGAGTTATTTTAATAATTAAGTTTTAACAAACTTGATATTTCTTTTTTTAAATTACTATAATGGATGAAGGTTATAAATCGACCCCAATTATATCAATGAAAATAATCAAAGCCATTGATAATATCGGTGATGAGAAAATTATTAAACAAACAAGTACACTCCTTCACAACAATGGCTTTAATTGGGACGTATACGGGAGTGTTTACATGAAATTTCCACTGAGTTATTTAAAATTAAAAAAAAAAAACATTAATTGCTTTTTTTTTTCTTTTTTTTTTTGAAAACCGAGTGTTAGACTGATTTGATACATTACGCAAGCACGTAGCAAAGGAATGTGTAAACGTCTATAGATAACATCGTGATATGGCGGCTTGAATATGCAGCTAAAATTAATTTTAACTCGCTTTCCAATATGATTTAACCATCAACAGATTATAAATTTAACATTTTCAACAAGTTCACGTTCTTATCATAATTTACTAAGGTTTTAAATATAGCGGTAAACAACAAGAAATTGTCTATGTCTGTTGGTAATGCTACAGTATGTCCGATAGCCGTGCATATTATACTCGGCCTAATGTGGCAGTTCAAAATCGATCGATTATAATTTATTGTTTAGATAATAAGCCGTGATTATGCTCTCGTCGCTTACCGGTTTTTGGTTTTGATAATAAGCCGCGATTTGAAAATAAGACGGTTTTGAAAATAAGCCCCCATTTTCTTACCAAAACTTAAAATAAGCCGCGGCTTATTTTCAAGGTTTTAGGGTATTTCTGGTTCAAGTTTTTGACTTTTTTTATGCATATTTGATGTTACTTGACTGTCTATAGATGAATTTGAACAGTGTTCCTTGAAAGTCCATCATGGTATCACAGTCGAAGTGGAGGAAATTTCTTTGAGCTGTTTTAGATACATGTATACTATTCTCTTTAACACTTCCATTTTTAGGTGGACATGGAAGCATTCCTTACTCTGACAGACACAGATCTCAATGAACTGGGAATCACGCAGACCCAGGCTAAAAACCAGATACTGACAGCCATAACAGAACTCAACACAGGAAAGGTAGGAAAATGTTTTTCAGGCATTAAGTTATGTGTCTATTATTAGCATTAATTGCAAAGACATCACTAGCAATTTAAAACATTAATCTGTAAATTGAGAATATACTTGTACATCATACCGGTATTGTACATACTGCCTTCTTTTGTGCAATAGGTTATTTCAACTGCAAAACTTTTTTTACTTAACAGGGTAAAGACAGACAACAGTTCATTGACACAATGACCTCATTCCAAACAACTCTGAAGGCCAGATCTAATGACAGTCAAGCAAGTCTGTCCTCCTCTAGGTAAAGTCTGTCCTCCTCTAGGTAAAGTCTCAAACCTAGCAACACTGGGATGTGTCAGTTGATTTCATCTCAATTTCTAACAGTTCCCACAATGTGTATCTGTGTCCAGTTCTCTATAGATACAAGTATTTGACATGTAGAAGACAATAAGTGATTATGCATTTTAAGAGTGTCTGATATTTATGTCCCCCTTCAAAGAAGGGAGGGCATATTGCGTTGCTACTGTAGGTCGGTCGGTCTGTCTGTTGATCTACCAACAGTTTCTGTTCATTTTCTTAGCAGAGATTGCACATACTGAAATGAAATTTGGTATACAGATTTATCATAAGAATATCTAGGTCAACTTTGGTACAATCGAGAAATTTTTAACAGAGTGATGCCCCTTGGACTTAGAAAAATTCCAATTATTTGCAGTTTTCATTCATTTTCTTCGCAGAGGTATGCATGTCCAGAGGGGGGGGGGGGCATAAGTGTTTCACAAACATCTCTTGTTATCTCTCTGATCTATGGAGCAACTTTTCAAATTCTTCCTCTCCCTCAAGTTTTATCCGATGAATTAAATTTGGTAAAAATGTCAACTACATTGTATATACATGTAATTCTGCATATTGACTTTATGTTTTGGAAAGTGATGCTGCTACTGTAAGTGTAAACAATCTATCAAATCATTTCAAAACTAGAGGTACTGTGAGGACTGAGCTCACAAAATGATACCCCCACTCCCATATGAGTATAATGGCAAAGTCCATTTGTTGCTTGGGAAACCTGAAATATGTGTCCAATCAAAAAGAAAAATAGGAGGTCACAATTGCACTGTGTAATAAAGATTCTGTTAAAGTTTCATTCAATTTTATTCAGTGGTATAGGAGGAGATGCAGATAAGAAATGGGTACCCCTGATTTTATAAAAAGTTTGTTACGCTTTGGGGTATACATCTCTTATCTGCAACTCCTCTACTACCACTGAATAAAATTTAATGAGATTTTCACAGAATCTTTGTTACATAGTGCCATTGTGCACCTCCTATTTTACTTTTTGATCGGACACATATTTCGGGTTTCCAATAACACATCAAAGAACACTGCCATTCTTTCTATAATATTGTGGGGTACCCATCTCTTATTTGCAACTCCTCCTTTACCACTGAATATAATTGAATGAAACTTTAACAGAATCTTTATTACACAGTGCAATTGTGACCTCCTATTTTACTTTTTGATTAGACATTTATTTCAGGTCTCCCATAGCAAAGCATGGACTTTGCCATTATAAACATTTAGGAGGCGGGAGGTATCCTTTTGTGGGCTCCAGTTCCTCTAGTCATTATTGTTATGCTTAAACATATTGTTAAATGATCCATCATGAACTGACCTTGTACAACTTTATCAAGTTGTACATGCATTGATGGTAACTTAACTTTACAGATACCAGTGGAGAGAACCAAGTGAGCTGGGAAATTCCTGACAGCCAGATGTGTACTTGGGAGAAATGCATTAAGATGATGGACACACCTGTTACCTGTTGAACTGGAGTCCTATACCAGGTACTCTGCTGACAATTTTCCATCATCTAGCAGTTGCATTGTTCATTGTCACCACCAGTCAGTGTTGGACAGAACATACATTTATGTACTGTTGGGCTTTGAGTGGAAGGTCGACAACGGAGAAATTTGCTTTGTTGTAATTGATAAGTACAGTGTACTTTGAAGGTCAGCTGATTTTAGTGTGATAATGCTCTCCAAGGTGTTCATACCAAGAACAAAAGCAAATTTACTCATGGAGCTATGAAAAGTATTGTAATTATAGTGATAAATGTTAGTGGAAAGCAATATATGAAATTGCTGACAGAAGGTTTTTCCCTTCTTTGCATTTATGTTGCAAATGATTATCAATCAGTTAGTACTGTTAATGTGCATTTTATGTTTGTGTGTGTGTGCATCCCTATCTTGTTTAGGAAACACCATATCAAAAATTCCTCTTGATCTTTCAATTGTTCAACTATTACAGAAAAAAACTAGGTTGTTACAAAGAAGTCCTGAAGTTCAAAGTGTCGAAATGTTTCAGACATAGAATTTTTTTGAACATATATTCAGAGTATTTGTCAATTGTATCCCAGTATAATAAGAGTCATATACTGTAATTATCAATCAAATGAAAATATGTTGGTTTCTTTATTCAAAGTACTGTTCTTTCAAAACATACCAATAAAATGATTGCAAGAGTGTGAAATTAAGAAGCATAAGTCAAAGACTGCAGTTATTATAACTGGACAAATTTACATTGCCTTTGATTTGAATCAAGGTTCAAGGCCACTAGCAAACAGTGGATAAAATTTTTTCATGCCAATACAGGAATAGTAATGCCACATTTTCAATAGAAGTACTAGATACTTTTAGTGTAAAAGTTTGAGGTTGTATTAAAAACACTATCATAATTTTTGTCTATCATTTTTAAAAGATCAATGTATGTGAAATATCACAGTGACAAATGTCTAGATTTGAGGAGATGCTTTTTTGTCTGTAAATGTGTGTAGAAATGTAGGATTGTTGATGTCAACACGAGGTGCCCATTAGATTCATAATTTATTGCAATGAAGAGTCAGTTCAGGAAATAATGCATACATTTATTTAACTTATATTTGTGATATTTTAGATTTTTATTGATTTTGCAGTATTTGTTTTATATCCAATGTATGCAATACATTATAATCATGTCTGCATTTAAGTTCTGTTGTGATTTTGTGTTTTCCTATTTGACCTCACTGCTTGAAAAATCGGTGAAGTATATTTTTATTATCAGATTTATTACTACATGTAGTAGCAAAATGTTCGTCATATTTCAAAGGATTTTTTTTCCTGTTTTTACATGTTATGCAAAGTGCTCGTTTTGTTGCTTTAAAGTATTTTATAAACTTTGTGTTCAGTTTGTTGTTTTATCGTAAGTTTTTGACAAGTAAGTGACATGCTTTATGTTTATACATTTGTTTGACATTCATTTTCCTCAACAGTTCATTTAATTTGTACTGCTGTGTATTTGTTTATTGTTTTATATCATTATACACTCTGTACCTTATCAGGTACTTTTGTATTTGATTAGATTTCTGACATGACAATGCCAGTTGCATTCAATTTTTTATATTTCTTGTTTTGGTGGCCTTCCAATGCCAAAAAAAATTAGTTTCTATCAGAAACATCTCTCTATGTCACTCCCTGTGTATTAATTAGAACATAATTAATGTTAATATTTTGTTATTGATGGTCCGTCCCTTTTGTAATTGTTGTAACTCTTATAAAGTAATCCATGGCACTGCTGAAAATATATTTTACATGTGTTGGACATTTAACTTACTAATCAAATTTTGTTTCAATCAGTTATAATTATGTCATAGGATATTATTTAGATATGAAAATAAGTCTCTAAGGTCATGCTTTAGGCCATTATTTTAATGAGTATGAATGGATTTTCATAATGGAAACAGATATGATTTGATATGACAGTCATTTTTAGAGTTTTAGTAAATTGAAAATATCATGGAATTATGGATTTTTTCCCCAAATATTCTTGTAACTGCTCTAGTATCATTTTTCTTATGAAAATGAACATTTTATAATCAAATTCAAAGGTACAGCATGTACCATAAAGAATCATTTCTTCTATACTTACAGTATATATGTTTCTATATATGTACATATTATTTTATCATGAACAAAAACATGTAATGATATCCAAACTTAATATGCTTTATGTCATCTTTTTAAAGATGTAGGTATTTTTACAAAGTATTTTCAGGTGTATGTGGTAATTTTTCAAATTCTTTTATATAAATCTGCTTACCAAAAACCGTCCCTTACCACCATTTTTTTTTAAATGCCTTGAAGAATGTGATAAAGGCTTCATGTGATATTTATTGTGATTTCTGTTATAGACAATTATTCTTTGTTCACTTAATATGATAGTTAAGACAAGTCTCAAAACATTGTAAGCTGTTGATTTACAATTCCTATGTTAGTTTTTACACTATGGATTATAACTGAGTGAATATAACAGTTCAGTATACTTATACAACATTGACAAAGCCAAATACTCCTACAGAGTACAGCTGTTCATCCATCAAAGTTATGTTCTACGCAACTGCTGTGTAATACTGGTAAACTTCACCATATCTGTGTGTTAACATCCAATAAACAAAAGTGACAAAAAGTATGTACACTTGTTTTATTTTTATTACTGCAAATGCTGAATCAACCAATAATTGCTGAGTAACAGTAGGTCACTCACAATGATCCTGTTTCCTGCACAGTGTGCGAACATATCCTTCCTGTGCAGCTACACAGGTATTTCCTTGATTTAATTACCAACGTGCAAGGATATTTGGTAATTACATATTTTAAATAATAATCTTAAGAAATAAATATTACAAATTTCATGACAATTATTGAATTCTAAATCACTTTGGATCCCACAAATGACTCATGGTATTGTACATATCTAGATCTATTGCTTTTAACATATGAACAGAACAGAACATTTATTTTCCAATTTAGAGCCCATAACAGACAATATATGTAAGTAAGTTAACCTTTCCACACCATGATAGTTACTCAATTCTTGAACCAGGAAATGTAGATCTATTAAGCACTCCTCCAATTTTCATTGTTTGAAGCACTCAAGAAGAGTAATAGGTAAAAAGATAAAAAAGAAAAAAAATTCACAAATGATATAGGCCTATATTCTAATGACAATATATCATAGTATACTCTGATGAAGAATAATCATGATAATGTGGCAGTAAGTGTTCTACAATGACATTTACTAGAATACATTGAATTAGATATCTACAAAATTAGATATCAAAAGTTAGAAAACACTCTTCCAATAATAAAAGTCCTCAATGTAAAATTTATCTCAATATATACAGGCAGCTTTGCTCAGTACACTTCCTTCGGCTGTTGAGTTGGTAGAAGGCCAAACCTTTTCTTTAACATAACCCGCTGTTTGGAGAACTTGTCATCTGGGGAAAATCTGGCAGGGTGAGCTGATAAAGTTGGTCGTCCCATAGGATCAGTTTTCTTCAGAAAAAGAAATCAAATCAACTGATTTTAATAACTGAATTTGTATTTGAACACTGCCTTATTTAGCATTTGTTTAAAGCAATCCATTGACATCAGACAGTAATAGGGCACAAATTCTCATCTAAATTACAGGAGAAACAGAAGATGTAATGTAACCTTACATACACACTAGACAATATTTCTAATGCACCACTCAGTATTTTCATCTGCAAATATATCTGCCTCATCGACAGAAGTATACTAAATTTAAATTGCTGTCTTGCTAACTAAAATTGAATTTGCCAATGTCTTTATTTCAACACAACACCCTCAAATGGCCCTCTTGCGTGCAAACTAATTTCCTGAAGCCGATTGTGCACCTTTTGTACTCAGATATAAGGTTGACAGTTACCGATGGTGGTTAGAGAGGTTGCAAAAGTGATAAGGACCCTTCCTTTCAAATGACATCAAGCAAAATGTCTAACGTTGCACAGTAGTCACTTAGTGCTTTGGCATCCATACACAGTCCGTCCCATTCCCACTTTCGGTTGCAACAATATTACACTACAATCTTGAAATTGTTGTGTGGTTTCTATTAATTAAAATGTCTTGTCTACCTACAGAAGAGTTATTTTTACCTCCCTTAATCTAGTCAAAATACTTTTCAGCCCATTGAAACAATTTATGAATTATTTTATATTTAGACCAACATCTTCAAAGGAACACCCTGCAGATACCATACCAACTGTCATACTATGCTCTTCTATATGGTCAAATGGTGCATGCCCAATCTAATTAAAACTAAACTTGTATATTTGCACCTCTACTATACACTTCAATACAAGTCCAATTTTTTTTTAGACTGCTTCATGGCCAGTCATGTTTCTGAGTTTTTATTGAATGCAATCATAAAGAACACAAATCCAAAGAAGGAAGTGGAAATTTATTCCTCTAAAACCTGCAAGCATGATTTTCAAGTTTTTCTATGAAATGGTTATGCTGCAGTTATTATTTATTTATTTACCTGTTTAAACATCTTGTTCATAATCTTGTTAAATATTTGAATATAAGATACATCTTAAAGGTTAAAACAACTTCTGAAAAGGTAAAAAGTTAATTTTCTATGGTGGTTCAATAGCAATTTTGTTTGAAGTATTTGTATGACATTCCATTTCAGTATTGAACCAAAGACAACCTGTTTACAGAATATCGAATATTTTGAATATTAAATCCATATTTTCGTTCCCCCCCCCCATTTTTTCTAGTACCTTTATAAGGCATAATCTAGTTTTAATAAACAAAAAGTTTACAAATTCAAATAAAAGTTAAAAGGTATGCCATTGGGCAATAAGGCATTTATTTCACATGGTATTACAATGTTATATTAATTAATACAAAAATATATATGTTTTCATAAAATTGTTAAACATGATCAGGAACTAAATTTGAACTTGGTCTAGATTTGTGGTGAGGGCTTGTACATAATTCTACACACCGGTAGATGATTCTTACTTCTCTACACCTCGACACATCTATAGAAAACGAAATTTTGAAAGAAAAGAGTTTTTCTCATGTTTGCACATCAAATGGAGTTCCTTAATTGGTCGAATTACTACTTATATATATTTTTCACATATTTTCTTTGTACCTGTAAAGTGTATATTTTGTCCCCATTCTCGTTTAAATAGTACATCAACAACATTCTGCATTCAACCAAATCTGAACACGCTGTGGAAAAAAGAATTCTACGTTGAAAACAAGCATTCTTGCAGAAAGCTAACCTCCCGCTGTTCTAAACGCACAAATGACATTGATTCTAAGCGTTAACTATTTGTGTAATATTTCCGCTAGATCTATTCAATTCCGGTTTCCTGTACAAAAAAAAAACAAAAAAAAAAAAAAAAACAAAAAAAAACAAAAAAAAAAAAAACCGGATGGTTGAAATTAATGCACACAAAAATCGTTATATTAAAATGAAATAAGTCAATAATATTTTGGCAGTACGACCTCTTTTTGTTAAATTTGAGGAAATTTATTTCAGATACACAAATAACATAGCCTATATATATAACCTTATGATATATGCCGCATTTAGAGAAGTGGACAGACTGTAGTCAACATCTACTGGATGTAGGCTAAACACTCAATCTCAATAAAATGGTGCAAGTGTTGTCCCTGGAGTGTTAAGCGTAAAAAAATAATGAGGTGACAGAGAAAGTACTCTTTAAATGAATCCCCAAATTAATGAATATGTAAACTATTAGGCAATATACAAAAATAGAGCAGGGACCTATATATACTAAGTTAGTCATTAGGTCCCTGGATGGAGTGAACAAACCACATTGGAATATTTTGTTTGGCATCAAGTGCACTGTGATTTTTCGAAACGTATGTTACTGTCTCCGACTCCGATAAATTTCACTACGTGGTTATTATTAATTATTAATATTATTAATTATTATTATTTTGAAATAACAGCTGCAATTCAATCTTTAATTAGTTAGCATATATCTTCAAAACAGTTAATTTGTGTGTGTGTGTGTGTTTTTTTTTAATATTATAGAACATATAATTACATAGTATTATATTATAGTAGGCTTTATTTGATATCCTATGCATGTCACCAGATAAAGAATAAAAACAGACTGTGGCATCCAATAAAGTACGAGTATCCTGTATTGTATGCCCGTAAGGTTGGAATGCGTTTGATTTGAAGGAAACTTTGCAAATTTTAAATTAATGGTGAAGGATTGTATCTTATATAGAATGATATCACGGTTACTAACATATGGTAAATTTCAACTATCCAAGAACTGCATTCCTTACACTGACCATGATTTAATAATATCTTATTGTTAGCTTACTATTTAGAAGAAAATTACTATAAATGAAACAATGTTCAGCTACCGAAACATTCGTTACCAAAATTCTTAAAAAAGAATGATCTACGGGTTCAAGCATCTTTCGCGCCAGGATGCAATTTTTTTACATTCGCAGCAAGTACTACATTCTTGTGACTTTTTTTAAAAGCTAAGAGAGTGTTGGTTGGTTTGTTTTCTAGAATGCAGTATCAATGAATTATTTGGAATAAGTAGTATGTAACTGTTAATATACATGTATATGTCAGAAACGACAACTATGTAACCAGTTTCATCGTACACCTGAATGTCCTTTATTAGTCCCCTACCGGTGAAACCGGAGGGGACTATAGGTTTCCTCTGAGTCTGTCCGTCCGTCTGTCCGTCCGTCTGTCTGTCTGTCTGTCTGTCCGTCTGTCTGTCTGTCTGTCTGTCTGTCTGTCTGTCCCTCTGTCTGTCTGTCAGTCTGTCCCACTTGGTTTTCCGCACTTTTTTCCTAAACGCTTGCAGATATTGAGCTGATTTTTGGTATGTGAGTGTATCTTGATGAGTTACAGATCAAGTTTGCATTTCGTTCCGCTTCATTGATTTTTGACGGAATTACGGCCTTTTCAATTTTTAAGGGTTTTCCGCAATTTTCTTCTAAACGCTTGTAGATATTGAGCTGATTTTTGGTATGTGGCTTTACCTTGATTAATTATAGATCAAGTTTGCATTTCGTCCCGCTTCATTAATTTTTGACGGAATTATGGCATTTTCAATTCTTAACGGGAACGGAACCAGATTACACTTGCCGGTAGGGGACTAGTATTGCTAATGCAATACTCTCAGAATGCTTGTTTATTCTTGAAATTCATACATGGAAATAGGATTTGCAACAATATTCACATAATTTTTTCCCCGATCATGACCAACTGTTTGAATGTAAACTTTGTTGATTGATTTGTATCATTTTAAATTTAAATTGCATGAATAAAATTGCAAATAATAAACTGATTTCTAGAGACAATCAACAATTCTGAAGAAATGAAAAAGAAAGACATTTTCAGTTTGATTTGTATGATATTAGGTAAACAAAGGCTTGTTTCTACGTATATACATCAGGGGGTTTTCCTTTCCAGGCGAGAATCCAAGAATTGAGGTGGGGGGGGGGGCGCAAAAAGTAGGCAGGGGATCTGGGGACCGCCTTGAGGCCCCCAGTGGGTCCATGGCGAAGACCTGGTGGGGGCCCAGGGGGCGAAGCCCCCGTAAATCCTGGATTTTAGAGGTTTTGTAGGGTAAAAATGAAGTCTACCGAGTAAACATTTTTACATTTTCTCGACGAAACTATAATTTACGCTAACTTTGAAAATTTTAGGCCCCCCCTTAAATCCGCCACTGGTTTCTCTTTTAGAACTTTGATACTGTTAAACTCACATTTTATGTTAAGTGATATATTTTTAATAGTTTTAATATGGCATTCACCCGAACAGAAATACGAAAGACGTTTCCATTGATGTTAAAACGAATTGAAGCCAAATGCCATCAGAAAAAAAATGTTTACATTATTTTCGTTCTGTTAAAACGTCTATACAGTCAATTTTACGTATATACAGGTATCAATATCAGTTTGTATATAAAGTACAGTTTAAGAAAAATAAAATACGATAATGTATGTGATGTAGCTCAAATCATGTTTTATTTTGATATTATCAATGCCATTGCGCAAACAGAACGGAAATTACATCTCATGAATTGACACATTTTGATCTATACGAAAGTTATTGCATTTGAAAGTATAAACAAGAACAGGATCACAATTCATGAAAAACATTTTATATAAAGTTTCTATAATTCCTTAAGAATCAACACTTGCGCTGAACAGTTGTGTAATAATCATGTTCAGCCATCTGGCTTGAAAATATGTCAATTATCAATAAAACACAACGTTGAATTGTGATTATATTACAGAGAAGAATATCCTACATACATGTATTACTATTTTTAAGTCGGAGGGGGGTGGGGGTGGGGGTCCGCCGTCTTTCTTGGATTTTCATTGTTACATTATTATTTCCACTGACATTTTTCTAACTAATTGTTAGGCCGTTCTGTTTATACTAAATTTGACTCCGGATCATTCTGTCCACCTGACCAATACATAGGGTTCATGGCGAGTGTGACAGGGGATACTTACTCCTCCTAGGCACCTGATCTCACCGCTGGAATATCCAGGGGTCCGTATTTTATGCCCTGTTCACATATTTGTATTGTTGATAGGTTCTTCGAGATTGATTACTGATCGTTATCTTTACCTTTTTCATTGAGGAAATATGGAGATAACGAATAATATTCAAGCTCATAGTCCATTTAAACATTACAAATCCGGAGCAGAGCAAACACGGACCTCCAAAATCATCGGAGGCGGGACCAAGTGCCATGTGGGAGTAAGCATCCCCTGTCAATCGGTCACACCCGCCGTGTGCTCCTTGTCATGATAGGGCAAACGGAAAAAATCCGTAGAAATTTCATTGTGTAAATAATGGCCTAACAATTACTATGAAAAACGTCAGTCAGCATTTGACCCAATGATAAATTGTATAAATTGTATTTGCTGATAAGGTCATGGACCATAGAACTTGCGAAATGCATGATGACTTCAAACGAGACTGTTGTTATCCTTGTTTCATCAACTTGTTGGTTAATAGCTTGCGTCGTTTTAAAAATTGATCGTATAGAGCATGCTCTTGCGTATATCGAATCAACTGAGAGACATAAACTCCATATGCAGGTGATAATGGTATATTGCTACACAAGTAAGGGAAGTTATCGATTGAAAAGTTGAAGTCATCATGTTTATCATAAAGTTTTGTTGTTAGGATACCATTAACGTCCTTTTCTAGTAAAATATCCAAGTATGAAACAGATGTGTCAGACTCTGTGGTGTCTTTTATTTCAAGTTCACTGGGATATATCGAATTGACACGTGAATGGAAGTAACTATTGTTAATTGATAATATCTAAATGTCGAGTTGAAGGCCACAGCAAGGTTTTCTTCTTCTCATGTAGAAGTTTTTGAATAAATTCTGCTTCATATGAAAATAAAAATAGGCATGCTAATAACAGGCGCATTTGGTACCCATGGGAGTTCCAACAGATTGTTGGAAGATCTGATCTCCAAAAACTACATAGATATTGTCAATCAGAAACTCAAGCATCTTTTTAATATCAACTTCAGAGTACTTGTGTGTACAATAAGAAACTTATTTAACAAAATAATTTTGCAAATGACCAATGACAAGGTAAGTATATAAACGAGTTCCATTTTTAGTGAAAAATTGTTATCAATGATGTCAAAAAGCCTGGACTTTAATTCATCGTGGGGAATGGTTGTATAAAGTGTTGAAAAGTCGTATGTTTTGTTGTTATTGATTTTGGTAAAATTTTGTGATTTCAAATTTTCTAAAAGTTCCTTGGAGTTTTTTTAGTTACTACATCTGATTTACATCACTTCTCGAATATACTGTTGTACAGTACTCGTAAGTTTCTCTTTCACTGCTGTAAATAGTATTTAGTTTTAGTGAGGAGTAAAGAATGAGGCTTGGTGGAACATTTACTGGATCCCGCTATGTATCTTTGTTTGTAAGGGTTTTTATGGAGTTTTTGGAATCCAGTACATGTATAGGTACGGATATTCAAATTCATTTTTGATTGTTGGGAATATTTAAGATATTTAAAACTGACATATGGTTTAGAAGAACTTCCTCCTTAGAAAGGGAGCTATGGGTATAAGTTGGACTACTACTTGCAGAATTCCTCTAAAATACAATTCAAATAATAAGCCTTTCAAACAAAGACAATGTTGTTACCTGCTTTGTCAGCTGAGACCAGTACATGCTGATCTTGTACTCTATCTAATCCTTGTTTCACTTCTGCATTGTGGAAGACAGAAGGATGGATAGTTTTCATATTGCCCCTCAATTGCTTAATGCGAGATTTCAACATCCATCTGATATGTTTAATCCATTCTGACAAAGTGTCAAGGCTTTTTTTTTTATTTTTCATTTGGCCTATCGTCCGGCGTAATCTTCCACAAAATTTATAATATTTATGAAATTATGAAGCCAGTTGAAAGATTGGGCTTTCCTAAATTTTGACCCTTTTATAATAAGTGATTTAAAGTGCTCATTAATATCTCTAATAACGTCCCCAGTAATGACGTGTCCAGTAGGATTATAGTTGTAGGGTGAAGAAGAACAATTAAACGATGGAGGATTTTGTTTCAGATGCTCAATATCCAGGCTCTGTAAAGTTTTCTTGTAATTAAAAACTTTGGAAGCAATAGTCGATGTATATATATTTATAGGAAATACAGGGTGTAGTCTTCAGTTGGAAATATGGTAGAATACAAGACTGGACCCTTTTGTGATTAAGAATATTATATGTACTTATATTAACCGGGTCAATGCATTTGTTGGTATATATAAGTTTAAGGAAAAAACGGGTAGATTTAGTTGTATTTTCTTCCGTAAAACGTGGCGGTCTAAAAAGCATATGATTGCAATATCCATAACCACAGATCCGAGCCTATATTCTGGTGCCGAGGAAACCAAATATGGACTTTCATTGACTTTTACAAATAGATTATTCAAAACTTTCAAAGGGACAGAGTAAAGTTTGGTGCAAATGTGAAGAAGGCCTAATAGTTTATTTACATAAGGTAGTAGCTAGTGAATCAAAGGAGAAATCTGTGTATAATAAGTTTAATGTAAGACCCATGTCCATGACTACACTTACGTCTCTTTGCTACACTGGGACACAGAAATAATAAATAATTATCCATATATTTTATTCCTATTCGGAGTATTCCTGACACTTTATTTATCTTTCAACAGTTCCAGACGGCCGTAATATCAGTTTAAAAAATGCATTCCGACGTCGACGTTGGTGTCCTCCTGAAACAACACGCCCGAGTTTTATTTATCTCATTTCTTTTTTACATACATGTTGTATTCTAATCTTTATAGACAATTAATATACATGATATTTAAACCTCCTGAAATTTTTATTTACATTTTCTTGACAAGTATATGTTCTTTGAATTACTTCTTTTCGCACAACCCCCAATAACATGGACGTCGGAATGGGAATTTTTTAAACAGACATTTCAAAACCATAAAGGGCTGTTTGAGACCGCTGAAAGGTAAATAAAGTATCAGGAATAGAAGTAAAATATATGGATAAGTATTGGATACCACTTTTAAAGCAGGGGAAAGCATTAAATACAAGAAATAATAGCCGAAGCGAGCGACAAAAAAGGGCGGTGTAAATCGAAGGTTTTTACAACGCTTGGATCTGTAGCTCTCTGCATTGTCTGTCCGAATTTTCTCAAGCAGAGAACTACAGTTCTGCAGCTAACAGAAGGATAGATGGTTTTCATATTGCCCCTCAATCGAATAATGCGAGATTTCAACATCCGTCTGATACTTTTAATCCATTCTGACAAAGTGTCAAGGTTTTTTTTTTTTTTTAATTTTTTTATTTTTCATATTTGGCCCATTATCCGGCGTAATCTTCCACAGAATTTATAATATTTATGAAATTATGATTCCAATTGAAAGATCGGGATTCCCTAAATTTTGGTCCTTTTAAAATAAGTGATTTAAGGTCCTCATCAATAATTTATTAACGTCACCAGTAATGACGTGTCCAGTAGGACTATAGTTGTAGGGTGAAGAAGAAAATGAACAAAATAGAGGATTATATTTTTGATGAGATCATTACCTCATTTGAAGAGATCAAGAAATCAGTTAAGCAAATTAATTAATGATATTAACAACTGAATTAAGTAAGTAAGAACATAAAATTTTATTAATTACTCTAAGAGATCTTCAATTAAATTATTGCGCACATCAAATGAATTGATGATATCTTAAAATATTTAGAGACCTTCAATTGTTTGTTTTTATCTTAAGTTAAAAAAAAACATAACAGAAACATGTGGTATTATAAACTTTTAAAATCATATATATAGCACAACAAAATAATCTTTTACTGACGATAAATACATGTACTGTTGGTATTAAGATGAAGCCGCTATTCATTTGAAAGAATGAGAGAATGTATTTATATCTGCCTTTAAATTATGCTGTAATTTGTTTTATTGACCACACAGTATATTTCTGAAACGCAGAATCCTTCACAAGTTCAAATTGTGTGTTTGACTTTGTAATAATTATATCAAAGTGATTTGAAATAAGTTTGACCTCATACTCTATCATGGGCTATTTTAACATCATGGTAATATTTGCTTCTTTTGATTTTACTGCCACGGTATCTCGAAATCTTTAAGGATAATCCCACACAGGAATAGAAAGTTCTTCTATAAGTTATGACTTAAAAGTTGTTTGAAAACCTTTAAAGGATACAAGATTTGAATTATAGAGAGAGAAAGTTTTCTCCTACCATTTGGTAGTATAAGAAACATTGTCTTATTACAGGAGTATGGCACTATAAGATTAAAGGCAAATTTGCTCTGTCTATTGTTGTCTAATTCAGTCTGATCGTCACAGGTTACTGCTAAACACCCCTTTCTGTAGAGAGTACACAGTACTTCTGTCGTCTGACTTCTCCTCTTGTGACGTGTCCAATTTCTTGGATTCATCGGCTTCAGGAATACGCTTGAGATCTAGATCTCCCATCTCCTTTAATTTAGATCGTCTAGCGACAATTCCAATTTCGTCATAATCCTCAAAATGGTTTCCAAAGGAGTTCTGTTTAGACTTTGAAGTCCTTCTTTCCGTATTTATTTCGCCAAGGTTAGCAATATCATCATATCTTGTAAGGAACGGCAACAGTGTGTGTAACGATAAAAGATAACTCCGAATAACTCCATGGTCCTTCCTGTAGGTATACAAAAAAGTAAATAAAAAAAATCTTGTTAGTCATAATGATTTTCGAGTACAGTGTGAGATGTTAAAGGTTTTTCCTTTATAAATATACGGTCTGAACATTTTTGTTTTTATAGATTGATTGATTGATTGTATATTGTTTAACGTCCCACTCGAGAATTTTTCATTCTTGTTTGTAGAGACAAAGAGGACAAAATGAAAACAAGTATGGAAGAAGGAGAGTGTGCTTTATTGACATTTTTCTATGAGATACAGTTATCACTGTTTAATGTAAGTTTTAATTTCATTATGAAGTGTTTGAGAAATATGAGATAGGTAAATTTTAGGACATAGATTGGACCTTAAGAAGTACCTGTTGAATTTAATATTAATGTTAATCATCATTTATAAGAAAATGATACTTGTAAATTTAATTTTCCATGCAAAGAAAATATATATAGTTACAAGAAACGAGTATATTATTAGCTGAAAGAAAAGTACTAGTATTAAGGAAGGCCATTTTAAAATGGTACATTTAATCAATCACTGGTATACTTGTAAATACTAGAACCAACGAATACAAGCTAACAAATGAACATTTGAACATAGGTTCCTTAAAATCAAATATATGAAATATAACTTGCTCTAGAATTAGTCAAATATTTTGCATTAATATGATGATGACATTTCCTTATTCTTTTCCATACGATTACATATACATTGAAAATATAGTACGGACGTACTGATCAATCTATAAATAAGTGCATGTATAAAAAAGGTGAGAAAACAAATTGGCGGATTCATCCTTTAATTAGATACCTTACCTTCTTTGTATGACAGATACAAGATTGATGATCAAAAGGAAAAACAACAATCCCACTCCAACAACAATGGCGTATGGCTGTATCTGTTTGATGACGTCAGTAGGTGATGGTTCAGCCGTGCTTTGTTCTTAAAAAGAAATACTGTAATAATATGCATTATTTTGTTTCTCCTTCAAAAAGAGTTAAAGGAACAAAAACTAAATTTAAATGCTTTCACTTAAGGAAACGTTTGTAGATTTTATATTCAAAAATAGAATGTACTAAGTGTATGAAAAATAGAAACTTAACATCCCCCGCAGTAATATTCAAAAATAGAATGGACACAGCAGGTGTGAGCTTACTCCTTCATGAAACATGATCCCGCCTCTAATGTTTTTTTTAGAGGTCCGTGTTTGCTTTGCTCCCATATCGTACTTTTGAGCTTGATTGCTGTTCGTTATCTTCATATTTCTTTCAAATAAGAAACTTAACATCCTCCGCAGTACAATCGTCATATTTTTGACTTTAAAGCAATGATTAAACATTTCTGAAGCAGGGCAGAATCTTATTTTTCTTAATGAAGTTGGAACAAAAAATATGAACTAAATATCACATGCCTGTGCAAGTTGTTGGTGTTGATCCGTTGGAACTACATGACCCTATGAATAAAAGTATGCAGTAAAGCCAGAGATTAACAGGAAGAAATGATATTGGCTGTAAAGTGTGATGTTAAATCGCAAAAATACATGTAGAAATACGATATTTTCTTACCACATGCTACCTTTAAAATAGCGAGACAGGTAAACACTTGCATCAATTCCTTTTGACATCGATTTCTGAAAGTGCAGGGCATCGATGCTTTGTTTGTCATTCTTTTTAATGAACAACCTGCGTCTGAATTCATATAACGGTTATGGTATGGAATAATAAATGATATAATATTAAATGAAATTCAACGTTAATTCAGTTTGATTTTGAGAATAACAGCTATCATTTAAGAGGAAAAAAGAAAAGTAGCCTTGAATTATGTTTCCTTACGTAGTAAGTCATTCTTACCATTGATAAGAAATTTCCAGTTAAGACTCTCAAACCAAAGTGTGTTTTAAGAAAGCACTGAATTTTGATGTGCCTAAAGTAAACAAATTCTAATAACATGAAAAAAGTGTATAACCACTTCCTGGTTAGGATAAGTTCCTCCACACTGTAACATTTGGCTCCAATTAATCTAGGAAGTGAAGCAATGGAAATATTTATTTCAAAACTAGCTTTGGGGCACATGTGATATAATAATAGTAGATCATCAAAGGAATAAGGACTATATATATGAATATATCAATAAAAATCATAATTAGTTTCAAATTATTTACTAAAGAGGTGAAGTAGTAAAGTAACTCGTTAAATTAATAAAACTTGTTTCAAATACTTTTGTGAAAATAATGATAATTAAGATAATAAAATAAATTATGAAATCAGACCAAAGGTATAAAGACATAGTAATACAATGAAATGGATAATTTAACAGGAAATATTTTTTCCACAAAGAATTACCAATAAGACTAACAAATATTTTTTCACTCGAATTAATAATTTTATTTTTGGAGTTTATTTTTCTAGTCATGCCAGATCTATAGCGACTTTTTTATGACAAATATAATTGGCAATAAATAACCTAACAGCTGTGGTTAATATACATGATTAAAATGCCAGAAAACATCTAGAAAAAATGCTATTTTGATCGAACAGTTTCCTGCACAACCAACAGAAAAATGATAAAACGATATGTACAACAGGACATATTCGAATACTGTGAACTTAAAGTTAAATAGCAATGGCAATATGTACAAACCTTCTATGTACTGAGGAAGGCAGTAAATTAAATATGTTTTACACAGACAAATGAGCATATTTTTCGGTGTGTTTAAATGTGTAACTGCTATTTATTCGTTTTACAAATAAACAAAAAATAAACATGAGAGAAAGAACGGTGTGAACAATACGATCAAATGTAAACGGGAATGTGAATAAGCAATATCATATATATATATATATATATATATATATATATATATATATATATATATATATATATATATATATATATATATATATATATATATATATATACTATTGTATGAAGTTTAATTTTCTGTTATATATTTTATTATGGTTGGTAACTTTGTTATATTGAAATTCTCAGAGACGTACAAAGCTGGTTCTGGATTGCCATAGGAAAACAACTGTATAATTAAAACAATTATACAGTTTATATACTTGTTAAAGTGTAAAAGCTTTATGAGATTACTTGTACGATGCATTTTATCCGTAGTGCTGGTTTCTGCAAATTCTCAATTGCTTGAATGAACCTAAGAACATAAAAATTGAAACAAATTTCAATAAATCGAAATGTACTTCGGATTAATATGGACCCTTACATTTTTGAAGCGATCATGATATTTAAAGTACTTTTTAGATTTTTAATCTTTCTAGAGTAAAAAAATATTAAGCTGACCACTTGTATCACCATATCAACAGTTCACATGTTGATATATTATTAACACTTTTACAATTAAAGATAAGCGGTAAACGATAAAGTCAATAATCTATTTTTTCTTTTTAATATAATTAACATACATAATCACAGCTCCGTTTATTCAATATCAATATAAAATCATTTCAATTCAATAATAAAGGGGGAAATGTTTCACTTTTGATCTCAATTACTATTCGTGTAAATGCTTGGTCTGTCTTTCATGTGCCATATTACATGTAGATAAAAAAACTAATTCGGAAGAAATAGATGTAGACGAATCTATATTATTTAACCAGTTTAAGTTCTACCAAGCCTCTATCTTAACTTCTCACAACATTATTAACTAGAAACTTCAGGCGCACTATGCTACAACATATTCATTAAGTGGTGTAAATTTAATGTGATTCGCTAAAACTCTTAAAAATTTGAAAACACATAATTTTTCCAAAATCAAAACGTATGACTTTTCTACACTTTATACATCACTTCTCACGATAAAATAAAAGACATCATAGACAACTTTTACAATAAAAAAAAATGGAACTCGATAATTTTAATATCTTGTGATTGTTCATATAAAAATTACTTGTTTTAAAGTCGATCTATATACACACAAGTACTAGTTCTCTGAAGATAGTATAAAAAGATGGTGGAATTCGTCATTGACAATATATATGTAGTCTTTGGAGACAAGGTCCAAGAATCATGGAACTAAACATTAGTTAAAATCTGTATGTTGATTTGTATACGAGGGTTGTCCCAGAAAAATGCAAACCTTTTAAATATTTCATAAAATACTGCACCAAGATTATTCCTTTTTTTTGCACTTTGCTGGGAAATGATATTTTGACAAAATACTATAAGGTTGAAATGTTATTTCGACATTGAAACAGCATTTAGAAGGTGTTCATGTAGAAGCACCGCAATTTTTAGACTTCTAAAAATAGCATTGCCAGCGATTTTTCATTGTTACCAGGCTATGCGGAAATATAATTATGTGTCAAAATTTACATCCTTAAAAATCTATGATCTGGAGTACTGATGTTTAAAATATTATTGATATTATATCGTACATGACAAAAATATGACGTTTTATGCATAAACACGTTTCGTCAGATATTGTCAGAATTCCCGACGTAGGGCGGTAATAATGATGCCAAATAATGATACAGTACTTACTGTTTTGAGCGCAGTATGACTCTTGTCCTGAGATGGAAACGATAGAACGAAAACACATGTCTCGGACACTGGTTTATACCTGGTAAAACCATTTAAAAGATGACTGGACTGGTTTTCGATGGAGGAGGCGTTTGGTAGACCATCAAAAATAACGACATACTGAAAAATCAGGAGCTGGACGTCTTACGTGGAGATAACTGTTTAATGAGAGCAGTTAGTTTTATGATCGGGGTTGGAAAATTTTCTAAAAGAATTATTTTCTTTTGGTAATCTTTTGGTAATTCTAGTATGTTTGAGATGGATAACTCGGTTTACTAACAGAAAATCAAATGCAGTGTCCAAATTTTGCTTCAAGCGAATATTAAAGACGCACGATTCCTTAACAAAATCAAAAACGCCACGAGCAATGTTTTGACGTCATCAGTGTCAATTGCCGATAGCTATTTATCAATATTCGTTTTAATGAGAGCAAAAATTATCTATAGAGATATTTTATTGAAATTTCTATGTAGTATTCAAAAAATGTTGATTTTAGTGCAGGCCAATTATTTAACTTGATAATATTGCTGAAAAAAAAATGCTCGAGTCTTTCTGGAACAACCCTTATATAGCGTAGAAGTCCCTAATTAAACTGCTAATCAAACAGTTCATAATAAAAATGCTATTCAAGACTTCCAAATCTGAGTTTCACTTAACAGTTAAGAAATATTTTGCGGGGGGTTAAAATTTTGACTTTCATTTAAATTCGTTTCATGATCTCAAGGTCATGTCTTGCCAGTCATTCTACAAAAACATGATCAATTAAGAATTTTTTATGTCGCTTACAAATTTACCGTTGTAATATCTTAACTATAAATTTAAAGGTCGATTTCAACTCTAAGACTTAACATACACACATAGTTTTGTAAATATTCACCATTATATATGTGCAGTTAACGTTTTGATATGAACATAATGTAATGTTGAAAAACGTATTCCACTGCAAATCTTAATGTCGCTTCATTTATTTATAAATTTCAAGATGAAATTTGCAGCTGTAAAATCGTTCCGAATATATTGCAATGAATGTTAAAAAATGCTTTTTATCCTATATAAAAAGAAACCAAACCACTTCTCGCAAAGAAATGCATAGATCTCCTTTCATGCTAATTCATAAGCATATCGCTAAAATTCGATTAACTTCCGTAACGATTTTATTTTAAATTTCACGCATAGAATGCAGATTTTAAAAAGAACTGAAACTTATCTGAAAGTGACCACGGAACCTTATATCATCGATTCTAGTTGCGAGTCAGCTATTTTAGACGATTACATTGTCGACATAACAAAATGAAATAGACAAAAACATTTGTATCTCTTAAAAATTTAACTTCCTTAACGGTAATTTAGGAAAGTTTTGCATTAAAAGTATAATTTTTTTTAATTATTTTGGGAGCGAAATGCTTTATACTTTTGTTTAATATCCTAAAACAAACTTTGATTTTAACTATTGAAGAGAATTTTAACTTTTAATGCTGTTACTTCCATAACGATATTTTTCCCGAAAATTTAATTTTAATTCGGATTCATGCGAGTTTTCATGAATCATACTTTAGCGTTCTTTACTGAACATCAGAAACGAAAAATTGGTCAAATTCAGCTTTATTTAAAACATAATAAGGCTTGATCAAGCATTAACTTCCGTAACATTACATTAAAATCATTGGGATCTTGAAATTGTTGTAAAAAGTTAACGATAACAGATTTGTGGACAATTTTTTTGTCTTCACGTTCACTGATATGTCCTTTAGAGAATTATGATGTTCATTTTGCTATTTGAAACAATTATTTTTTTTCATGTTTTTTACTCTGAATTGATCCATTTATCGTAGAATGACCGTTGCAAGAAACTGCAGAATTCGGATGGGCACTATTAGCCGATCTATTTTTATATTTTTCTCTTTACACATATGTTGCAGAATTTATTCCAAAAATTCTTCATGAGAAGAAAAAGTCTTCTGCAGTGGCCATCAATTAAACGTTAAGAAATATCGACGACGTTTATCAATTAGCAAGGGTTTTATTTTTTCACATGTTTACTCGATATATCCAAGTGTATTTAAAATTACAATTGCTGGATGCTTTACTGATTAAAAAAGTCCAACTAACAACTAAACCCTACG